AAATGGTGTTTAAGTGATTCTTGAAATCATATTAAATGTAATTAATCAAGCAATAATACATTAAGACATAGTTTTTTTACAATAAAACATGGTTATACTTTAACATTTTGGGGAGGCTTTAGCCCGAAAGCCCCCCTCCCCCTTCCCCGTAAATCCGCCTGTGACTCTAATCTAAATAAATAACAAGACCGTTAACTGAACTAAAGTTTAAAATTAAATAAAAGTGGAGTAAATGGTTATAAGACGGCCTCAAGGAATAAAACAACTGTTATTTACTTGTTCCACTACGATTACTGTCTGTTAGTAACGTGTAATTATTTTCAAACTCAAATACTTATTCTTTTTAAATGTCACTATAATTTCAAAACGGTGAATTGAATCTGAGACTATTTGGTTGAACCTTGATCTGCATCAGTTGTTGATATAATTTTTTTTTTTTTCTTTTTTTTTTTTTTTGTATTCGCCTCTACCCTAGAGGGTCATTGGCGGTTATTCTTAATTTTTATATTTTACTGTAGTGATTTGTTTCCAATAAATATTCGAAGAGAATGACGATATTTGCCTCATTGTCTCCCAAAATATCTTTCAATGTTGTCGAAAGCTTTAGTTTTTGTCTCTCTTTCTTATATAGGGGACACTCTAATAGTAAATGCTTGACTGATTGAGGTGTATTGTCACAGTTTTCGCAGGTTGGCGCTTCGAGACCTCTAAGTATGTAACCGTTTGTGAAAAGGCAGTGTCCGATTCGCATCCGGCACAATATTATTTCTTCTCTTCTCGACCTTCTGAAGCTTGTGGTCCATGTGTTGCACTCGATTTTTATTTCGGCTAGTTTGGCTCGTTGTAATATAATCTTTAAAATTAATGAAAAAATTAGATATTCTTTACATCGGAAAATGTGAGGAAAAATCGATGGTGTTAAAAATATAATTATCGATGGTTTTTATATAATAATATAATATAATTTTTTTGTAATAAAAATAAAATAAAATGATTATTATATCCTAAGAAATATTATAAACTGAATATTTATAATTAATCAACGATACAGTTTTTAAGTTATTATATACATACATTATAATTATATTTTGTGACTTATTGTTTTTCAAATTATAAAAACAATTATGTCATATTCGTATTCCTTGGCTTTGAAAACATAAATGTACTAAATATCAAGTTAATCCGACATCATTTACAACTCCTATGCCCTTGTCCACGAAAACTCATCTTTCGTCCCACTGTGCGGCGTCCCGTTAAAATAAAATTTAAAATTTTACGCAAAAACACTTCAATTAGTCGACTCCAGCCGAATTTACCCGAGCGTTACACATCGGAGATCTGACGGCTCAATCTGATTCAATCTAAAAAAAAGTACAAAACATGCCTAAAGTTGTTTTCACTTCAAAAACCCGACAGAAGTCAAACAGGAAGAATATGTCTCACGTTTTTGAAAAGAAATACATTGATAGAAAGTATTGTGGGACATTCTCCTCAGAATAAATATAATGAACAAAGAAATGACAATTGTCTAGCGATTGTGAATAATTATTGCGGCACAATATCACTGTAGTTATTATATTCTGAAGACTACAACATTTCCTTAGATTTTTAAAAATTGGGAAAGGAGTGCCGGAAACTGGTACTTCAGAGTTCCAAAAACTGGGAAAATGGTACCAAAAACTGGTGCATACGGATATTTGTATAATTTTTTTTGCCGATTTACTATAAACAAATAGATGAAAGACACTATTTTACATACATATTTTAAAATTAGAGGTCTTTACTGACTTGACAGAACCGAAATTGTTGAACCAAGTACCCACGCGAATGAAAACAGGATAAACACATTTTAGAGTTTTCTTCAGTGTGCCGAAAATGGGGGATTTTGCTCTAGCAAGTGCTCAGTTAAGAATATACTGGGTTGTAGTTGGTCAGAAATTGTGTCAACTTTTGTCAAGAAGCTTTGGTTCATATATATAGTATTGCATATTTTTTTATTTTATTTTAAATCTAAGCAATTTTTCTAAATGAACAGCATACATACGAATAAAAATAGTTATCAAATAACACTAATACTTATTAAAAAAGTACACATTTTCGAGAAAAAATGCTATCAGAAGCTCCATACTTATAACATTCTAAAGATGTGTTTCATTATAATTTTTTTTTTCTCGTCCTGGCCTAGTAAAAAAAAATATTTTGTTAATCTTGTATTCCTTCCTTTTTTCCTTCAATGACCAATGATAAGATGAACAATAGCGACTTGTTTTCTTTAATTTATCGTTATATTTATCGTTATATCATTCTAAGAAATAAGCAATCTGAACTATCGCTATCGTAATTTTTAATACGTAATGCGACCTTTTTGTTTTAATTTTACTATTTATATACTTTTTGAAGCATTATACAAATTTCCAACGAATTATTTTAGAAGCAATTTAATTCCAGGATAGAAAAAAAAATTTAAGAATCAATGAAAACCTACTTTTACATACCACGCTACTTTGAAGTGTGAGGAGTAATGTATCATAGGTGCTTAAACGAAATTTCAATCTAAGCACCTGCAAAGGCTAAAACCATAGCTTGTTAAAATATATATATTTCTATTAGTAATAAAAAAAAGTTAAAGGGAAGTAATTGTTGTATTAGAAATGTGATTTCACTGTTGTAAATGCAATATTAATAAAATAATTTATGTTACTGTTCTTGAAACAAATGAAATTCTGAAGGAGAAGCTGGAACCGAGGTCTTTTTTAATGTAAATAACATTTAGCTTGGTCAAATAAAACATTATTCGTGGAAAAATCAAATATTAACTAAAAATAGCCGAATGTCTCTTTTTTTAAAAAAAGTAGAAGTTCGATTTTTCGTTACTTGATTTGAACCATTCATGCAGGTTTCTTTAACTGCTGTGCAAAAGTGCGGTCTCTCAAACTTCATTGAAATTTGGAAGTTTTCAGAACTTTTTTTTTTTTTTTATTAACGAAATTTACAACTGTAATTAATAATAATACAGCAAGTAAATACGAACAAGTAATCTGGCATGTACAACATGAGGAGAAACTACCCATTGGTAGCACTCCAATTCAGAACTTAAATCTGGAGAGAATGAATTTAGAGTAAAAGTTCAGTAGCAGTTGACATATTTACGTTTACATCTTATCATTAGACATTTTTGAACGTTTAACTAAATCTGAAGGTTTAAATCTATTCCAGATAAGAAAGAGCAGAATTCTAATCATCATATTGTGGTCCAAGTAATTCACAATGGTCTTCATCATTCTCTTCATCATTCTTTTTAACATCTACGGTAGACATTATTTTGATTTTGATTTTAATTATATGTAATTTTTTTTTTTTTTTTTTTGATCACTCAATATTTATTATGCGGAAAAAATATTTTATACCATATATATTTGAGGAGTACACAAAAACATCAATCAATTGCTATAGAAATTAATGAAATTGTTTTCGCCTCAAAATGGAAAAATGAGTTCGAATACCATTTTTACAACATACCGCCTCAATTCCCTTACCCTACCATATCTTATCTTAATTTAATTTATTCAGAATTCTTTAATTTTGCTACTTGATAGTAGGACCAGTATATAACCATGGATAGTACCTTGAAGAAATGAGTTGACCCACATCTATACGATTTTCGTAAAATAGTTCCAAAAACAATGGAGTCATTTAGAATTCGTTGCCCTTAATGTTCAAAACGTGAGTTAAAAAAAAAAAGGAAAGGAAGTAATGTCGCGAGAAGAAAATCACTCACTGAAAAATTACACCAATATCAACGCTGTGGATAAAATATATAATTATAAAATAATATGGGTAAAATATTTTCTAATGCATTAAAATTTTACACCGTTGCAACTGGGTTGTGACTTCACTATCTGCAGTAACATCTCCCAGATATTCTAGTAGCCACCGTGATTTAGAAAGTTGAAAATGTTTCAAGATATTACCTGAGCTATCATAACTGATGGAAATTTTTTTAATTTTCCGAATAAGCTAAACTAATATTATTGAAGATCGAAATATCTTAAATGTAATTAATCTTTTACTTTTTCAACTTAGGTAGAAGATGAAGTACAGACTAGATAGTTCGAAGATACGGAGTGTAAAAAATTTAATAGAATAAAATTATCCTAAAACTGATTAACATCTTTTTATGTAAAATTTATTACAGGCAAACGAAAAGCGTGAAATGCAAAAGAAAAATAAATGAATTGATGTACTTTTTTTAAATAGAACTATCAATTCGTTTCTTAAAAATTCTTTTGTAAGGTATAAAAAAGAATTTAAATTGAAATTAGTGATAATTTCGATTAAAAAACTGCTTAGAAAGAATCTACATAACAAGAAGTAATTTTATTAGCTATTTTATCACAATATTTCTAAGGAAAACTTAATTTTACGATTCATGACACTTAAACAGAAATATTACTTGAAAATGATAATGCTACTGAATGACGTTAAGCAAATAAATGTTAGATGTTAAGTTTTATAGTGATCCATTTGCCTATTGATCAGAAATAATCAGTATTTGATTGCAAATTCATTTAAACGTTATGAAGAAAACTTCGCCCCTCCCCCTCTTCACCAATATATTATTCACCCAAGAAATTGGGTGTTACAAAATTCAATACAATGAGGTTGGCCAATGTTACTGAAATTAGATGACGAAGCTTTCCTCGAAACGTTCTAATAAATTTGTAATCAAATACTAATTTTGCTTAATTTATTTCTGACCAATAGGAAAATGAATCACTATAAAAAGAACAAACGTCAAACCTGCATCATGAGAGATGTTAACTTATCAATTTATGGGCGAATTGAACCTAACCTAACCAAACCTTAATTATTTTTAGTTAATAAACAACGATCTATTGTATAATGTCAGAATAAAAGAAAAAGATTAGAAAATGAATTTTTTTTATTTATAATTTGACATAACTTATTATTTTCATTTATTCTTATTTTTATTTTTGCAGAGATGTTCTTCACAAATTTAGGACTCACAAACCGATTTCCTTCACGAATTACAACACTGAAAAACAGGTAATATAAAAACCATATCCATAAATATTTATCAGAAAATGTATAAATGAATAATGCCAATTAAAGAATGACTATTAACGTTACTCTGCAAGTTGTTATAACAAAAGGGTTTGATCGGAATCCTCTAATCATTTTCAGGGGTGCCCGGAAGGGGGTTTCATGGTACAATCTGCGCCATTAAAAATTTTGAGGAGTCCACATTTCAACGGGATTTTAACTTTTAAGGGGAGCACATTTCGATGGGATTTTAATTGTTAAGGCGGGGGGCACATTTCGACGGGGTTCAATTTACGGAATGAAAAGTTTTATATGATCTGCATTGATTCTTGGTTTCATTTCGTTTTTGGCTTCATCTTTTTAAGTTGATGAAGATTAATAATCCATCTCTCTTGCCTTTTTCACCAATGAAGAGACGACTGTACTATGATTCATCAAAGTAAACGCAATAGTTCTCAAGAGTATTTTTTCGTTTTTCTGGATCGGATGACTACTTCGGTAATTTATACCGAATTGTTCAATACTCAACACTTCCCAAAATCATTATGGGAATCGAATAGATGACTAAAGACGGAGTCAAATAACAGTCCTTCAAATGATTTGGAAAATTAATGTTAAAAAAAAAATAATTATTAATGATTTTATATTTCGGTGTAGATTTCGGATTATAATAGGCACGAAAGTTTACATTGCGGAGAGCGTTTTTTCATTATATATATTTTAAATTATAAAATTTGTGATATTTGTTTTGGTAAGCTATGATCTACACATTAAATTTTCTTTTGTAAACATTTATTTTTATTTACTTTGTTTTTCTTATATTAAATTTACTTTTTATTTTTCTTATTCTAATTATAAAACTCCTACTAACACTAATTGGGTCAGCCTCCATGGCCAAGCTGTATATTAAGCCAATAAATAAATTACATTCTTAAAGGAATTGGGTCATTAATACCAAGTGCCGAAAAATATTGCTAGTGGTGGAAATTTTGAAGACAAGCTAGAAAGTCTAGAAGATAAAGAATTCTGGAACTGATGTAGGTAAAAAATAAATTCAAGCAGGCATTGAAGAAAAAAGATTTAGGCGGTTTCGACACGTTAAAGGAATGCCTACAGAAATTTTTCCAAAAATAGGTATGGAATTCGAAATAGAAGGAAGAAGGAAAAAGTTAAGATCGAAGGTAAAATAGAAAGACGATTTAGAAGAAATTTTAGCAGGCCATGGGATCACAGAAGAGCACGAGGCTATGAATCGAAAACTATGCAAAAATATTCTAAATGACATTTAGGTCAAGAAAAACCACAATATTACAAAATTTATTTAAAAAAAAAAAAAAAATTTTAAATAAATACTAGTTAGCCCGTGCGAAATTTTGCAGAAAATTTTGTTTAGTAAAGGAAAAGCAAAACAATATGGAAATAAGTAGATCCTACGTAATATGGGAGGAAGGAATTAATTGTTTTTCCTTGGTCGATTATTACATTCCATTTAACATTAAAAAAATATATATATTTGTACAAATTGCTTTGCCTACGTCTATTTTTAAACGGTTACTGGAAATGTAATATTAAAGTCTCGATCGTGGGATTTTATAAATTATTAAGAAATATAAAATGTACGAACAAAAAAATACATTTAATATTAATAAAAAAGGGTATTACGATATTAAATGCAGTATCTTTTATGAGGAAGAAATTTTGTAGTATACCAAATCTAATTTGGACGGTATCATTGTTATTAATTGTCCGATGTTTACCATTTTTGTTTGTTTTGTATGTCATTTAGTAATTTTTCTAGTTATAATAACTGCAAAAAAATGCATAGTTTTTGAGTTATTCTTTATTTTGAAAATAAAGTTTCTTTTCCTTCATAACTTTTTTCCAAACATTTGGGGAGGGCGGGAGGATATGACTATTTTTCGCATGTGAAGGAGAAGAATATCTTCAACATGAGTGGTTCGGCAATGGAATTGATGAAGAATTGACGAAGTTATGGCGTACCGACAAAAAAAACATCGTTTAGAAATAATATACAAGATATTTTAATCATAAAATCCACTACTAATTGTTTTCTTTTCTTATCTGAAATATTATGCCTCGTTGTTAGCGTATCAATTTTTGTCGACTTAAAATAAATGAAACAAAAACCTGATATGGTAATTCAAGCATCCATTGAAAGCTAGATAAAAATTTTAGATGGTGACGGGAGTAAATCATAGATAAGGACGGTCAGTATCTACACCAGCTGACTGGAACCCTATAATTATCTGGATAAGTTGGAGCTTCCTCCTCTGCCTAGCTAATAATCCTTTGTCCCAATGCAGGAATGGCAACTTTTAGCTATCTCGGAAGAGTAATTTTGCTATTTACTCTATCACTCCTGTCAGCTTTACCAAGAAATATAGTTATTTTGCGACCTCAAATAGCTTCCGTTGAACTGGATCAGCTATACCCAATTAAGATAAACTATGATAATCGATATTTTTTTTAATCACATTTAACTAGGGCATATTTATATTTTAATTTGTGACATAAATAATTTTTTAAATATTTTATGGACTTGCAACTTTATGTGGGATTAATCTAATGGAGGTAAAGCAGGTGTAGTAAACGGTAAATATTTTAGGACCCTCTACAAAAACTATTAAACTTATAAAAGACCATAAATTAGATATTTTATTTTTATATTTATCCGATTATTAATTTATATCCGATTATTTTCCAACTATATCTCCAGAGTATGTTTCTTTTTGTGCCATTAATATTTACGAATAATTTTTAAAGAGATCTTAATAGGCTCCTATTAATTCACATTTATATGATGGTTTTTCCTATAGAGCATGAAGACTTGTTAGAACAGAAACATCTAATTGTAAGTGCAAGTGCCAAGGAACTAGTTGACCCTTGACACGGGCACATAGATTAAGAACTCAGCATCAAATAAACGGTCAAAGGCAACGTTCGTGTATTTCTTGAAGATAATTTCTATACTTCTGCTTATATACTTATTAAAAGTTCTTTATGATTATAGATTATGTTGTATCTTAATATTATTTAAATAAATAAAGTAAGCCTTTATTCATAATAAATAATTCAAATGGAGAATAAATGGCGTGATTAACAAAAACGAAAATAAGAATTAAAGAAATAATAACAACTTCTTGAATTTTTTAATTAAGCTAAAAAATGACCAAACGCCTTTTCAAATTTTTGCCAAAACGACTTCTCGAGTCTACTTTCCTCATCAAGTCTATTCCTGCTATCTTAGCTGTACCGCCTCCTCATCTCATCAGTTATCATCCTCTTCTTTTTGCATACAGTGACAATATTATTTGTTAAGGTCAATCTTATATATCTTCCATGCATATATAATATCATATATTTTCTCTGTAAGTGCACTGGGAAATTTCCTTTCATAATAAATAATAAGGAAAACTACGTTTTCCATCCGATTGATATTCGTCTATCTATTTCCTTCTCGGTCCTTCGGATAAAGATCAGCTGGTCAAGATATATAGCATATCCCCACTCTGTTTTATTTCCTTGTATAAGAAATTTATATCTTATGTATTCATTAACTAAATGCATACGATTATTCAAATATGAAAATATATATATATATATATATATATATATATATATATACAGACATACATTTAATGTGTTTTTAAATCTTTTACTAGGATTATTTCTGTATGTTTGTATATATTATGTTATGCTTTGGATCATGATCCTAAGACAATTTTGTTTTTATTTCCATTCACTTCCAGATCACACGGATTTGTAATTTATATTAAATTATTATTGAAGAAAGTTAGGTGACTGTTCTACTTATCACAGGTGATAAATACTTAGGATGCAGTCATTTTTAAGATTTTTATTAGTCCCGACGTTTCAACCGAGACATGTGGGTCATTATCAGGGCGTGTTTCGAGCATATTATATTGAATTGTTATTAAATTACGAGTCATGCCTGTGATAAATTTATTTTTTAAAATCATACAATGGCAATGAATCGCCTTTACTTTTGTATTAAAAACATGTTAGAAACTTATTTATAAAGCCACAATGATTAAAAAATGGAAACATTTTGATATATTTGTAAATGTTTACGTAATTAATAAATTAATAGTGTTTAATATTTTTTTAATTTGAACTTTATATGTAAATAAAAATATGTGATACTACTTAATGACATGTATAGATATTTATAATATTTTTTTAAATAAATAATTATTTTTAGATCGGAGAATACGTTGATTACTTGGGGAGAACCTACCCTGATCGAGTTAAGGTGACAACCATCGGCCATAGCGTGGAAGGTCGGCCCATCAGGGCAGTCAATATCAACAAGAACTTCACAGCCAAACCTGGCATCATAATTGACGCAGGTATGTCAATAATATCAATTAGTAATATTTATAAAAGATCCAAGTATCCGAGCGGTCTAAAAAAGATGAAATACATAATTAACGTCCAGTACTTGGCAAGTACTTGGATCTGTGACTGCCCACAACGGAAAGCCGTGAGATTCCCCTGGCCATTATTCCCTTGGGTATGAATATTCCATAAGCCAACTGGAAGCAAATCGCTCTAAACAGGAGTAGAAATTATAATCACACTCATCTTATTCGGGAATCGTGATGTGATTTTTCAGGATGGCGGTGACTGCCTGGACGTTTGGTCTGAAAAAGAAATATTGGTGGTTCGGCCCCTGCTGATTACGAGTAGCCATGATCCAGGAATCTAGACCGATTGGTCACTGTCCTTGAGCAAGAATTAATCAGTGGGAAGAACACTGCCAACTTTACTCCTAAAGGCTCCTTTACATAATGCGACATAATGCGATCTGTCCCGGCGAAACGAAGCCCTATATCGATATCGCTGCGGATTATCGAGCTATGTGTGACTGCAATAATGCAATGGATAGTAATACAACTGTATCATGGCATCGCCAACAACAGGAATATCGTACCGTCGGGACATATCGCATTCTGTATAGGAGCCTTGAGAAATTGGTTGTGGACGGCCTGTACTCCGTGGTTTGTAGTGTCTTTAAAGTTAGGTGATCTCTAGTTCTTCTGTGCTCCCGCAAGTAATCTCACAGTCAACAACTTTCATTACCTATAATACGAACCGAAAAAAATATGTAATATTTATAAATTTTAAACAGAAAGCAAAGCTAAACGGTCTTTCTTCATGAAGGATGTTTAGAAGGAGTTTATAAGAAAAGTCGTGGGATTTATCGATTTTAAGATATTCTTGGCATCATGTTAAAGCAACGAATGCGCAACGTTGGGCAGGCTAACGTAGGTTAATTTAATGTGCTGATAAATAAAAGCAACTAAGATGTCATTGGATATTAAAATTATGTTATTCATATTTTTGATTTCCTTTAAAAAACACGGGGAATAGATCCAAGTTTCACCAAGGAAAATCTATAGTTTTTAAACTGCGCTCATTCATGAAAATTCGGAGGGAAAAATATATGTTTGTTTTTATAACGAAAAAAATATGGTGTGGTAGGCGCATCACACAACCTTAACTTACCACCCTCTTCTTAGCAAAAACAAGTATTTTAAGACAAAGGGAAAGTATAAGTTAAAATTATAGACGCTATATTTCATTGTGGTTACTTTTATTTTTTTAACAACCCCTATACATACAAACTTTGATTTTTATATCGCTGTAATCTATACAATTAAATATTAAATATTAAATAATATTAATATTGTTATTTATGGTGGACTATTCTAACTTACGGGCGAGCTCGGGTGGGCTTGGGCGCACTCGTATTCCTTTGGTTCCTCCATTACAACTATTCTCCGTTACGATCTCTTATTGCTCCTTTAGTTAATTATCAAATTCTTTCATGTTTTATATTTAACTATTTTTATATTAGAGATCAATGTAAAATGGTTAGTTATTTCAAATAAAAATAATTAAATGTACTTTAGAAGAAGCTAATATTGAAAAATAGCCTTGTTAGAGAACATCAACGAGAATAAAACCTACATTACACATAAATAATGAATTTAATCAAAATCGTTTGAGTAGTTTTCGAGAAAATCGAAAAAAAGTGTTAAATCGATTATATAAAGTGCCACATCCGGTAAACCAATGTTGAGGGAAAAGTTGCTGTAACATCCAAGGCATATAAAAACCTTAAATATGCGATCTCACTTTTGTTTCTGAGCTAGATTGCGAACACACACATACACAGACCATTTTGTGAGACTTGGTTATTTAGACTCAGGGGACCTCAAAACGTGTATTTACGTTGAAAATTGAGATTCTAACATTTTCACGATCGCAACACTTTCCTTTACTATATATTTCATATACAGGTAATTAAAACTAAAATATCTTTTTTTAATTCGTGAAACTGGTGTTATGATTAGGTGAGGTGTTATTTACTCATTAACTATTTTCAGACTTCGTTCCATTAGAAATACACATAACAAGATTTTTGAAAATCATTCAGATCATTCTGATGACGCGGTATCGGGGAACCCCATAATATTTATCATCAATTGAATCTTCTAATCTTGGAAATGGACATATCTGCACATTTTTTACTTCTTAGTTCTTTTTATAATGTGGTGATCTTTTATTTACATATAATTGCTACCGATTTTATTTTGTACAAATAATAGTTTTCAAATATCGTTGGTTTATTGCAAAAAGTCAAGGAAGACGCTTCGTAAAATTAAATTTTTAAGTATTTTGAAGAACACAAGGCCATGGACAGAAACCAACCCAGTGATAATTTTCACGGGCCACCGTCAAATATTAGATTTACAGTTAAAACCCTTACAAAAGTATGCAGCAAAAATATTATGTAAAGATATTAGATAAATACTATACAATATTTGTAATTTTATCTGTTGTTTATTTCAATGTAAATTTAGGAGTTCAAAAATAAAACCTAGAGGGCTTCAGGATTTAGTGACTTTTTGCAATAAACCATTTAGTGATTTATAAAATCACTGCAATTTACCCTACCTGGAATAGTTAGTTATTTTATAACATATGACCTTGTACAACAGGCTATAATACCACCATTCGAATTAATTAATGAAAGAGCTAAAGGATGTCGAGGTGACTTCATTGCAGGTAGATATCTCCTCCTATCCTTGCTTTATTAATTGTTCTTTACCTTTTCTACTTAGAGAATTATCTGCATCCTCAATTCAGCCTTAAACAAATTATATACGTAGGTAATGGAAGATAACTAAATGACAACGACCTTCGCTTAGTCATCCTATTGTTAATATAAATTGACTTTATATTGTTATGAAAAAAAAGTTAATACGAGCAATAAGTGCTAAAATTATAAAAAAGAGGAGAATCTTAGGTCTTGGTTCAACAACTACCGAAGGCAGAAGAATGCTAAGTAATAATCGAACAGGGTCTATTACAGGCTGTAGGGTTATGGGTATTAGTATTGGTACTGGTTTGTAAAAAAAAATTAGGAAATCGGAACAGAGTACCGTGATTCATTCCATGGTTAAAATTAATATTATCTGACTTAAGCAGGAATCAAATCCACGCCATTCCGAAACGGATCGCTATACCGATTGTATAATTTTCTATTTTATAATTTTATATTATATAATACTAAAGTTAAAATTATGGCGGTAATTTATGGCGAATATAAAACATAATTTCCTACAATATTCATAAATGTTCCAATTAAATACTTCGTAAATTATTTCTCAACTTTATTTATTATAATAATGAGACAAACTCTCTTTGATTAGGAGCTGTCCCCTAAAAGAAACAAATAAAGGAAGACTGAAACGGCTGGAAGTAGCGGTCAATGTCATTATGTGCCATAACCTCGAACCATTCGCGGGTCCACGAAGAGGGCTTTCGAATTGAAGCCCCCCAAAATGGAAAAAAAAATTATTGTGGATCGGTCCTTATTTGTTTTGTGAGATAAATACTTAAACAATCAAAATAAGTGTTCTTTTAAAATATAACGCGTATATTTCAACTACATAAATAAATGTAAGCATGCATCAAGAAAAATATAAATAAAATTTATCCTGCATAAAAATCGTTTTTGTTCAAGTTAACAATTTTTTTTATAGCCCTTTAAGAGAACCACTTAATCATTATTTTAAATAGCTTTATTTTTCATTTAGAATAGGTAATTACCGTTACAAAGAATATATAAATAATTTTTTAAAAAATAACATAGGCTACCCCAAAATTAAATGTCTATTATTGCCTCGGGATGTAATAAAATAAAACCGTTTCTGTTCACAACCTTCTTTTTTTACTTTCCTACCTTTACTAACTAGGTAAGGAAAGTATTGCAATCGGGTCGAATATTCGACATGCGATTTTCGACGGATCCATACGTTTCACAGTCCGAAAAACACATTTTTAGCCATTGGTCTATCTGTCTGTCTGTGCCAAGATTTTCTCGAGAACTACTGAACCGATTTTGTTGCTATTTTTATTTTGTAAGATTTTAACTACTGATGCCTGTGACAGAAATTCGTTGCTCCATGCGCAATAGCTTGCGCGCAATAAATGAAAAACATGTTTTTCTATAGACTGTAGCGCGAAAACAGCTCTAACGATTGTGATGAAACTTTTCTATGATGTTCTAATCATTGTCCTTTGAATTTTCGTATATAGACTAAATTCTCGAAAAAATTCAGGAAAAAAAGTTATAAAGAAAAGAAAAATGTTATGGGGCCTAACTTTTCACATCCCCCTGAGTCCGTTTAAAACGCCGTTTAGCCTATCGTTTGAAAGGTAATGAAATTCCCTACAAAGCCATATCGTTCATTTTGGACAACTATTAACGAAGTTACAGCTATTCAATTACCAATGAAAGAGTTCATTTCCTGGTGTCAGTAAGGAGTGAATGAGAGAATAAAGATGACTAAGTGAAAGTAAAAAAATCTGCCCGCATCACACAATCTTCATTATTTCCTCTTCTTTTAACAGAAATTATTGTTTGACAATACTAAGCTATGGCAAAGAGTTTTTCATCAGCAATATTAGTGAGTATTGAACTTTTTACACAGATCTACCTTATGTTGGTTTCATTGTTTTAGTTTATCAAATAAATCGTACTCAAATCTTTTGTTTGATCAATTTTCAGGAAAATAAATTTAGTTCAAATCTTTTTTGTTCCTTCATGAACATATGTAAAGATGTAACAACTTTTCTGAAAAAGGTAGGAAAGTCGTGTGAGTGGACACACCAGATTTTTTTTTTTTTTATTTGGTTTCTCAAGTTCAATCTAGTTCTTGCATCACAAACAGTAGGGATGCCAGGATCTACTTTCTATCGTTGATTGCAACGAGCATTGAACAAAGAAGTAAACATGGTGAGTAATTTGAGTACCTATTCAGTAGTGAGCATTCCAAAGCATCTCGACTTTCTCCGATAAGGGGAAGAAAATTAAGGAACCGCTATCAACAAGACGAGTGATTGGAATTAGTATTAATATTTATGTTGATTCCGGGAGGAAGCAGTGAACGCTAAGAGACTATAAATAAAATGAGTTTATGGTTTAAGATTATTTATTTTATTTATTTTTTATTGAAATTTACAACTGTATTACATGGAAAATACAATAAGTAAATGTGACATTGGTAAAATGACATAAACAACATGAAGAGAAACTACCCGTTGGTAGAACTCAAATTAAAGTTCTATATTAGAAGGTCCCGATGCCATCTTCTTTTCAGACGCCTCGGAGGGTTACCAGGGATCGAGGAGGAAGCAAGGTTTGAAACGAGAGGATTCGGATGGTTCTGCAGTTTGTTATGGAAGGATAGGTATCTGGATTGGGCCAAATAGGAAACATATGGAACATTGAGGTCTTTATGGATGATTTTATTTTTGACAAAGTAAGGAGCGTTTAGGATTTTACGAAGGATTTTGGATTGTAAGGATTGGATACGAGAGGAATTCGATGGTTTAGTGGAGCTCCAAAGCTCAATCCCGTAAGTCCAAATAGGTCTTATTATTGTCATATATATGAGTTGTTTGTATTTGATTGAAAGCGTAGAGCGTTTGTCTAGTAAGTGCTGCAGCAGTAGAAAACGTCGGGCGGTTTCTAGTCGTTTCAGTCTGGTATGGGGGTATGGTTTAAGATAGAATTAATTTTATGATCAGATCAGCTGAAGGTCCTACCTCTCCGATTTTTTCTTTTTATTTACTTTAGGAAACCCATATTTTGGCTTTAAATCCATCGTCGGTTTATTGCAAAAAGCCACTTTTTGATAGTGACACAGTACATTTTTTATATAGGTTAACGGTCAAAAATGTTTTTATTAATTTCAACTTTATTTATCGATACAAAAACACAGTAAGAGCATGAAAATGAAACAAACCCTTTAATATATTTACAAAAAGCGCATAATATTCTGAATTCATAAAAGAAAAATTGTTCTTAATTAGTCAACATTATGAAATGTCACTTAATTCATTTTTACAATAAACGTCGGTATATTAATTTGATTATTGTGAATAACAACACTTGAAAAATTCAAAAGTTTTTTGTCCCTGGAATAATTTTGATTGGTTCTTATGTATTTTGGTATGCTGTAGCGAACTGCAGACCTAATTTCGATATCGTCACTCATTCATAAGAGAGGTAGAAATATTTTAATATTAATAAAAATTCAGTGAACCCGTAATTTTGAAACAATTTTTACCATTAACAGTATCGTAGCTACGTTATATAAACAACACAATTAAAAACTGTACACATAATTTCTTAATATTAACTTGTGATTTTTTTTAAACATCAAATGGGGAGGGGGTTTCTTATTCCAATCCAACAATAGTTGTCCAATATTTTTTAGCGTCACTTTCCTGTTAATCTTTTCGAATTCAATTAAACATCTTAATTAAACATCTGTGTGTGGGCGGAGTGGCCGAATGGGCTAAAGCGTGTGCACAGCACTGCACAGCAACCTGACATATGAATCTAATGATATAAAAATAGTCATGAGTTCGCGTCCCGGTGCCGAGGGAGTCTTTTAAATCCCCGCCCACACCCCCTGGCCCGGGAAAACCCCGTATAGCCTTAACGACGAGGAAGGGGAGGACCAAAAAAAATAAAAAAATAAAAAAAAATTAAACATCTTGCTGAAATTCATGCTTTTCGGATGCTGCTTCCAAATTCTCAGGAAAGGAATCCAAATTGGAATAGAGAAAATGGAGCTTTATTCCATAATGTGGAAGGCCATAGGTAGTTCTTTCGCATGTTCGAGGTACTTGTTCTTCTTAAGATAAGAGTTGATTGTTTTTTTTCAAATACATTCCATGCTCATTTTCCAAAGTCATTAAAAGTTGTCTTAAAGTAGTATTATTTGAGGTTCAATCAAATTCCGTCTTTTAGTTTTGTCTCGCATATAACAAGAAACTTCGAATTTAAAAATAACTCCTAAAAACCCCTTCTGAAGATTTCATAGGTTCCATCGGAATCGATACAAAACCATATCTTAGTCTGCCACTGTACCGGAGTAGGATTTCAATATACGTAATCAGGACACCAAACTCCTGTTGACCTCTGTTTAAATTAGTAAGTAATTTAGTCATTTTTGCTTTCCTTCCAACGATGGTGAAAAAAATTCGGAAGTCTATAAATCTCTCTTTAAGTTTCCTTTTTTTTTTTTCACTCTTCTTGAATTGACTTATGTAAACAACTTTTCTGGTATTACTGTCGATATTTCATTTATTAATTTTATTTCTAGGCATACACGCACGAGAATGGATCGCTCCTGCGGTAGCTTTGCACATACTCCGGGAACTAGTGGAGAATTATGACGAAAACAAAGTGCTAGCTGACTCCATTGACTGGACCATCATACCCCTCCTTAACCCTGATGGATACGTCTATTCTATGAATGTGGTAAGCTCGTATTTAGTAAATAAAATTAACATAATGTTATGAAATCTATTTTTGAACTTCTTTTGCACTTTATTTGTGGAGAGTGAATTAGATTGAGCGGGTAAATTTGACTAACTGAAGTTTTTTTTTCATATGAATTAAAATATCTCAAAAACTAAATTTCGGACCTGTATATTGTGACAGAGGGAAATGTTCATCATTTCATCCTCTTTGTAATGAGCTATTATTCAAAATTGTATCTTATCGTGACGCTGTGTTAGACTTAGACAGGCGAAAAGGGAAAAAAATAGTGTCCAAAACCAAATGATAACGAATTTTATAGATGTGGATTAAAATATTTCAGAAACTAAAAATCGGGCTTGCATACTGTACTCAATGGAATCTTCTTTATAATTAGCTATTATTTACAATTTACATTTTATATCATTGATCTCGCCTTATTGATGTTTTCACTTCTATCGTGTGGGCGGAAGCACACACTTTGATTTTCTTTTTAAATAGCAAAGAATCATTATCTTTCAATAAATATCAATATATCTCATAGGAAAATTAATAGATACTACTCGAGAATTTTGTATTAATCTTCAGTAATTATAGTAAATAAATAGTAATAATTAATATCTATTTCACGTGAATACATTATATAAGTGACAAATATGAAGTACTGACCCAATGACATAAAAGATGTGTGGTTGCCAACACCAGTTGTAGTATGATCTAACAAATGTTCCAGTGTTCCTATTTCTTCCTCAAATGTTGTATTTTAAATGTAGCAAAACTTCAATTAAGCTTCACTCATTCATCCTTCAATTTGTGTTAAACTTTTTAACAGTAAAACACAAAAAAATGTTTTTAACTCATGTTGTGTTTATTTTAAAACAAAGTTAACAGAAAAGTATATATAAGTTGGCATAAATTACAGTATTATAAAGATTAGTTTAGTGACACTTGCTTCATACTTTATTAGATAAAAATAATTTGAGACAGATAAATTAAGTACAAAAAATACAATTATATTTTTATACTACCTTACTACCTTACTTATACTTACAGGCTCAAAATCTCGTGATTAGTAATGAATAGAAAGTAAAAGAAGGCGAATGAAAAAAATGGGGTTTCAATGAAAATTATAAACTAATAAATTTTGAGAAAATGTAAACGCGCTGCCACCTCTTTGATAAAGCAGAAAATAATCAGACAAAGAAGTAGTGCACTTTAAGATTCAGTGTAGTTCCTCCCAGAAAGATTGTGCCCTAAAGAACAAAATAACAGAACCTACAACTTCGAAGTTTAATACTAAGTTTATAAACGTGAGACGTAAGTGGTATCTTACATTATATATTTATATATATATATATATATATATATATATATATATATATATATATATATAAATATAAATATATAATGTATAAATATATAATATATATATATATATATATATATATATATATATATATATATATATATATATATATATATATATATATATATACATAGGGTGTTCCATAAGTAGAGGGAAACATTTAAAAGGTTGAAAGTGCAAACCAATTCCTACAAAAAAGTTCATCTAAACAATTGGCCAATTTCCAGCAGAAAAGTAGGAAATTTAAGACTTGTGTTTTTTAAGCGAGTCGCGTTTTTTGTTGAATAGGAAGCGAAACAAGGTAACATAAAATAAACCACTGAGTGCTAATGGTAACTGAGATATTACATAACTACATGTTGCTTTCCAACTCCATTGTTTTTTAAATTATTTAATAAAAACTTATATTTAAAAATAAAAAACAGGTTTCAAAACGGTATTTAAGAACCACTAAGAAGAAAAACAATAACTTCACTTTCAAAAGCACATTATTAAGTAACTATTCCAAATCAATTTTTACTTTATAAAAATTTATCAGTTTTGATATTGGTCCTAAGTCCTCAAATTTAATCAATAATATCAAACATTTTTGATATTGTAAATGATATCACGGAAATGAAACAATTAGCTATCTTGATAGAGGTCTAAAAAAACCTTAACAATAATGTTGTTAAAATGTCAGCTAGAATACCTTTCTTCTAAATCCATTTATCATAGGTCAATTGTTTATGAGTCAAGACACATCTCACTAGGAAAAGTTGAAAGAAGAAACTATAGCAATTTAAGTATTGTGGTGTGGCTTGGCACCGACATCAAAAAATGTTATATTACTAAATAATGTATTTTGGTAAGTAAATAGTTATTTTTGTAGTGGTTCTAGTGTACCGTTCTGGACTTGTTTTTATTTTTTAAAACAAGTTTTTAGTTGTTCTTGTTATGTCCATGTAGTGTATTCTCTTCAACGACAAAGCTAGGTCTCAACTCAATTAACGAGTTCCTTAAGATGCGAAATATCCGTAACTGAGAAATATGCAACATTCAATAGTTCCTGTATAGATAAAATGCCTTTTACCGACATGGAATACACTTTAGATTGAATATATTTCTATAATCTATCTATTCTCTAAACCGCCACTTCTGGTGAGGTTAATCAAAGTTTTTATTACTTTTTCGAAACTTAAATGTACTTATATGAAGGATTTTAGTTTGAAATTAGAAAATGGCCTCTCTTAATTATAATATTTAGAAATTTAAATTAAGTTTATTTTTTTATTTATTTGTTATACAGGACAGAATGTGGAGAAAAAATCGAGCCAATACTACCGACCCTTTGTGTCCCGGCGTTGATCTTAATAGGAACTTTGATCTCTTCTTTGGCGGTAAGTAATAGAGTTAATAAGAAAAAAAGTTATTAAACCATTAAGTATAGATAAGGTGACTAGACGTCCTGCTTTTTTAAATTTATTCCGCGACCCGTGGCGATTTAAAAAAGTCCCGATGTATGGAAAGAATGCACGACAAGCTAGAGAACGGGAAGAGAATATACAGTTTTCACCGGACATTTGACCAGGATATGAGTTTTATATTATTTTTTTAAACTTTATAATGTTAATCTTTAATAATAACGAATAATTGTTGAGAACTGATTACTGAGAACTGCTTAGCAAAGTTCGAATTGTTGTCAGTTGTTAGAATTCAACCACCATTGTTTTGACTCAATAAACAACCCCAAAACGATCTTTTTAATAAGGTATCGTTATTAAAAAAATATATTGATAAGGAAAAGGTTAAATCTTGGGCATCAGCAAATTAAATTCATTTGCTACTTCGACTAATAATATTTTGTCACCTTCAATATGTTTTATAGCATTTTGAAAAAGAGCTCTTTGATTGTGTAAAAACTGCTGACACAAAACATCTAATCTAATAAAAAGTATTAAAAATTGTAATATGATTGGAGTCATAAATTAGAGGTCAAATACACCATGAAAGTATCTACTAAATATACATACTTATCATTTTTTCTTATTATGGGTGTTGATATTTTGGCTCAAGCTTGTTATTCATCATCAAGTTTGATAAGTAATTAATACAAAAGGTAAAATATGTATTTATTTATGCAAAAATACATAAATCAATAGATAACAAAAAGAAAAAAATAATTTTAATGTTAAGGATACCAATAACAATAGAGATACAATTAGTAATAAAATAAATGAGAAGAACTAAGAAATTATGAAGATAAAATTGAAATGTATTACATTAATAGGATGAAACGAGTATAGAATCACTAAAAATAATATTATGGAAATAAGTTTATGGAGAATAGATGGAATAAATATATATATATAAATAATAGATAAATAACTGACGAAGTGAACTGAAGGGTAGGGTAGGGTAGGGATGTAATCATATCAGTTTTTTGGCTAAAAATAGTAAAAAAAAAAAAGTTTATAAGATGAAAATAATTGTAAAAATTAAGTATTAGATAAAATGAAAGTACATAATTTGTTAAGTAATTATTGAAAAATCAAACCCGTGATATAAAAAAATAATCCTTCCTATTTATCATCCAAATCATCTCTAAGTAATTATTCTAATTTCTGTAGGAGCAGGGACCAGCTTGGATCCTTGTGATGAGACCTTTACCGGCTCTGGGCCATTCTCAGAGCCTGAAACCCGAGCCCTCAGGGACTATGCTTTGTCCAAGAGCAACACTCAACTCTACCTCACATTGCACAGCTATGGGAAGGTTTGTTTGATTAATACTATTTACACACACAAAACACTTTGGCCATCAAGAACCAGTTCTTGGTCATTATAATTTATAATTTAGCATTACTAATGAGAAAAAGATTTGGAAGAGTTGCTGCTATAACATCAATACTAACTTCTAATAAAGTATATTAATATACATGAAAAAGAGATATATGTTTTGTTGCCGTATTATTTCAATGAGAAACTAGCAAATCAGAAACAAATTATTGCATTTTTTAAATCAACTTAATTTGCAATCGATGTTTCTTTTTGGAAAAAAAAAAATCAATATTAAACAAAAAAAAGCATCCAAATAAATATCAAAAACGTCTGCCAAGTAAGGCCAGTACAGCTTCTTTGCCGTTTGCATTGGCTAAAAAGTATCTATATTATTAAGTCTAAAATGTTTCGTATAAGAATAAACTCTGGGAGAAGCCGTTTTCGGAAGTTCAGTAATCCCTCAACATATACTGATTTGATATCCACGAGTTTTGTTCACTAGCGAATAGTAAAATGCGAAAGAATTCTGCATTTGCAGATTGCATATTTGATGATTCGTGATAAAAAAAATTAAAAAAATTCCAGTGCATACTGAACATGCTTATCACTACTATTAGTGCAAAAGGTGGGAAGTAAAAATTGAGTGTTTTACAGGAAACTATAAAAACTAATTATTTTTTTCTGCTTTATTAATATATCATATTTTATTGCCCTCTTTTATTTTCTATAGTAGTAGAGTGCTTATATCAGTTGCAGACTACAAAATGCCACCTTTAGCACAAATCGAATAAAAGTTGAAAATGTTTACATATGACGTTTCGCACTAACCGTAGTGATATATACTTAATAGATATGATTTCACTCATAATATGGATGGAACAAATAATCCATAGGAAAAATAGAACTTTTTGTTTGTTCGGTGTTAATGATACCATTAATTTTCTTCAGTCAGAACAAAATTAATTAAGTTGGAATATGAAAATATGTGTTAAGCTCACACAACTTTGATATTTAAGGAGGAAATCGAGACCACGATGAATTGGTTGAACTTCAATAAAAATAAACACAATCATGAATTAAATGTTTTTTTTACAAAATCAGAGTAAAAGTTAATATAAATACACTGGAACTTACACGAAATCTAAGTAACTGCAGTAAGTGTCATGCCATTAACGTTTGGAATCTACCAAAAAATACAGTATAAATTAACTTTTTTAATAAAACCTAAAATTGTATAACCCCATAAAAATATTGTTTTAACCTACCTCCCCTCCTCATGATCAATGTCTTTCACGTTTCACAGCTGTTAAGTTGCTAGCGATTATTTATATTAATTTTAATTATTAAATGAAATGCAATGAAATTGATATTAAGTAATTTCTTTACTATTCTACAAATTTCCTCCAAGTTTGGTTTAAATGGAATGCGTAGTTTTCAAACTATAGGCGTGTCAAATAATACATTTCCTGATCTGAAAGCGGGAGTATTTTTTTGGAGTAATCGATAGAATTTGATAAAATTCATACATACTTGATTATCTATTTATCATCCCCTAACTTCCCTCCAAATTTGAGCCAAATCGAACGTGCAGTTTTAGAGATATAAACATATCAAGGAAAATGTTTGCGCATATATATGAGAATGTAGAGGACGACATTATATTTTTACCAATAACTACATTTTATCCAACTTTGAGCCATTTCTTAAATATTGGCGTATCTAAAAAAAAAAAGTTTGCGCCTGCATTAGCAGAAGTCCTCCATGAAATTTGATTAAATTGATATAGGACCATCTAGGCACCAATCCTCACAATCCCTGAAAATTTCATGAAAATCGGATGAACGGTAGTATATGAAATGCCGGCTACTTCGCTTTAACTACAGCCAGACAGATATGGAACCAAATTTGATCCTTGATGTCTGAAATGTTATACAGGAGTGGAAATTTTAGATTCTGAGCACAAACTTTTTTTAGCCTATCACTCATACAATACTTCTCTACCTTGCGTGGTGAGGAAGCAATAGCCTATAAAATTCAGTTAGTTTTCTACTTACCGAAAAATGCATCATTTTCTTTAAAAGTTAAACTAAAATAATTACATTAAATAATTAACACATTAAGTAATTGACATAAGAATAAAATCATTTCAAAATAAATGATTAATAATTTAAATTATTAACTAAATCACTTCAACTTGATTAGCCAATTCCACATGTAATTTCTCTTCATGGTGTCAACCAAACTTATAACTGAAAAACGCACTCCAAAATCACAACATAAAAAATAATACACACACACATCTGAATTGAGTTCTCTAGTAAATATAAATATTTCTTTATTGTTTTTCCAAATCATCTTGATGTTAACTGTTTCCATCACCTCAAAATATACTCATTTTATTATTTCCTTACTTCTTCAATTGTGTATAATTACTTACTGTTAGTCCAATATCTGGTCATCAGTGCCATACCTGTAAATTTTGCTATTTTTTGGTCTGAGATTTTCTATTGAGACCATTTTTAAGAACATTAAATAATAATAGTAGCTCAAGTGATACAAATTGAATTTAACAAGATGCTACTTATTTTTTTAGAATCCAATAATTCTAAATTTAATTTAGAATTTAGATACTTGACATTTACTACCATAATTTTAAAACTCAATTTTCTCATTTTCATATAAATTCAGATATGCTACTAATGCATTGCACCAATGTTTCACCAAAAAATTTCACTGATATTTATTTTGTTAAATTTGTTTGCAGTATTTCCTGTATCCCTGGGGGTTTGGAGATTCTTTACCAAGAGACTGGAAAGAGCTGGTATAAAATTTTTAATAATTATATTTTAATAATGTTAATATAATATAATTGTTTTAAAATATATATTTTAAGGTCGGGTCAAAATGTCGGCTTTCAATAAAATAGTTTTACCACTATTTAGCCTATTTATGACCGCAACCCCGGACCATCTCCTTCCTTTATAATGCAACGGTCAACTATTAAATATTCAATATAATATATATAGTTGGTCTTAATGGCGAAACCACATAAGTACAAAACAAAATCTGCCAAAATTTTATGAATAACAATTAATTATCTTTTTTTTATTTGGTATTATATTAATTGCCAAGATGTAATTATTTATTTTAAAACAATATATCTCAATGTGATGAGTTTAATTTTTTTTTAGTTCTAACAAAAATTTTGGATTTAATAGTCAAACGGTTTCACATTGACATTAATAATATAAGTATAAATATCCTTCACTAAGTACATATACAAAAACAAAATTGTATTATTAACAGGACAGGCTTGCGAGAGTTGCAGAAAAAGCTTTGTCGTCTGTTTACGGGACGCACTATCAAGTTGGATCATCAACAAGACTTTTAGGTAATTAGTTTAAACTGTTTAGTATTTTAACCATTGACATGATTATGCTATGCATGAAATACTATATTTCATATAAAATGATTAAGAACTTTAATATCCCGTATTATTTTAAAATCTATTTAATTATTAAATCAGAAATATTCAGAAGGAACACAATACCTGAGATATCATGTAAAATACTAAGCATCCAAAATTTGTTACTAAACAATGTAATGAAATTTATTATTTTCTGATAAAAAAAAGATTTCAGATGCATAATAAATGACTTACAATTTAGAAACATTGAAAAAAGGTTTTAAAAAATATTGTAATATTTTTATGTGATGATATAAACTTAAATGGTACCTATGAATTTTCCACATGTCAATTGCATAACTTTTCTTGTGAGGTACAGAGTATTGATTAGAATATTGAGATAATATTAAAGAATATGCAGGTCATTTTTATTTTACTATAATGAGTTCTATTAATCCATTTACATTAAATTGATTAATGTACATTAATAAAGAAGAACCCTTAACCAATTAATGATCTTTTTATACAAAAAAGTATGCATATGTGCTTTCATTTGAATATAGTATTTTTGAAAGCACATTAAGACGTTATTACATATATGCTAATTTTTAAATATACAGATGAGTTTGAGTTTCTTTTCTCCCAAATATGAAATAGATTTTTCCAAATTCCCAAACATTTTTCATTTAAAACTTGATTTATCACTACCCTTTATTGTTTTAACAAATGGTTAATCATTTTTATAATGCGGAAAGACCATAAAAAATTGTATTCAATATGGTTTGATACTATATTTCTATTACTAATCACTTCAATAAAATTCAGCCTAAAAGTAATATTTTATTGTTTAAAATCAATAATACTAAATACTAAAAAAAAAACTTTAGGAACCTTGAACTAATCTCATTTGACCAGCACTGATCATAGGGCTGGGAGACTCCGTTTCACGCCCGAGGGTGCCGGCCTGGAGGGCCACAAGTCTCATGTCCAGGATTATCAAAAATTAGAGATCTTATAAATAAAGCAACGCAATTAGAGCCTTATTAAAATAAATACATGTAAATATAAAGTAAAATACAATGATCTTCACATTTGTCTTTCTTCTTACTCCTAAATTATTTTCTTATTTTTTACTTAACTAAGTGCAACTGACATTTAATTATTTTTATTTTCCAGGTGCTGCAGCAGGAGGCAGTGATGACTGGATGAAAGCACGAGCCGGTGCTAAGTACTCCTATACTGTTGAGCTGCCAGGTGGTGGAGAAAAGGGTTTTGATTTGCCCCCAGAAAGTATCCCGTATGTCTCAAGAGAACTCTGGGAGGCTGTGAAACTTCTTGGCTTCTTCGTTGCAGAAGAATGGAGGTGATTGAAAAATTGTTCGGTCTTAAATGGAACCCTAAACATCACCAAGAAATGAAAATGAATCAGAGGACTCTTTGTGTTCATAAATTGTGTTCTCAGTGGCATTTTGCTCATATTACCCAGGAAAAGAAATGTGATCCCACCTTAATTATCATTTTGTTTTTCTTTAATGTTGTATGTTTGACCAGAAATCTATACCTAAGAAATTTTTGTACTAGGTAATACAACAGTAATAGGAGCAACAAATGTATTTATCTACATTATATAAATAAAATATTTTTATTCACATCGCTATCTTGTTATTATATTATGTTAATATATTAGTATTATGTTAATACACCAATCAAATAATACAGTTTATGAGGAATTTTCAACAAAGTTGTTTTACCTTGGTTGGTTACAAATTAGAATGGATGAAATTAACTCAAATCCGAGGAAATTCCCTAAATTCAGAAACAACCTGATGAGAAAATATAGAAGGCTATAGGAGTGGCATGATTCCTTGTATGAAAACTTATTAAGTCATCGACCAGTTTCAATATAGTGTAGTAATGATTCTTTAGATTTATATCCTAAACAGTGTCCCAAGAGGATCTCCTGAACCCAGGATTAATCCAAGGGTGGACTAGCAAAATAAATAATTACTTGCCACAGCCAGACTCAAACCAATGACCCAGAGTACCATACTAACTAACCTACCACACTTCCTTATATATAATTAAAACTATCTAGGTGAAATTTGTTGTAGAAAATAAAATTTTACTGGTTTATTAATTTACTTTTAATGAACTAACATAAACAGATATAAATAATTGAATTTTTTTTTTTTATATTCATTAAAGAATTTATATTTTTTTTAAATGCAAAAAGAGAATAATAGGGAACAGCAGATTGTTACAAACATTAATGTAACTCATGGGTCTCGAAACTCTGGCCCCAAAGCATGTCCAGCCCAGCCTGCAAAAGTTTCTGTGAATACATTATACAATTTTAAGAACTATAAAAAAAAAAAATATATATAATTAAGTAAATCACTCAATGACTTAGGTTACTGTGTGAGGTTACTACAGCATTTATTGCAATAGTTGTTTCTTTTTTAAAGCCCCTTTCACTGGTGAAGTGTCATTTATAGAACAAGAAATATTTTTTTATCACAAGCCTCGGCCAGCAGAACAAAAATTTTGAAGACCTCCTGATTTAATGCATACCAAACAGATCACTGATAGGACCAAATAAAATAAAATCCATACCATATTACCAAAATTATTTTTTTAAATAAAAAAAATAAATATTTTCAGAACGATAGAAAAAACAAAGCATACCCAAAATAATACCCATAAACAACTTGCCAAAGAAAGAAGTGAAGATTCTATGGTGCTAATAAACAATAACAGAATAAAATCATACTTTATATACTTCTCATATATTTAATCTTCATTAAATATATAAAAAAGTAAATTAAAATTTTCACCTATATTTTGATTTGTTTTTCTCACGTTGTTTCACAACAAATTACTAGTAGATCAGGGATACCCAGAAGGATGTGGCATGGCCCAAGTTGTCCCACCAAAATGATTATTGGGTTTTGAATATTTGAGGGTGCAATATTTTGAAATGATTATGGAATTGTGGTGAGAACTATATTTTGTGAGTTTTTAGAGAAACTTTTAAACCGAAAAATATGGAAGATATCACAGCAACTGTAATCGTCTATGAGCTTATTATTATTCTACTTTTGCTGGCGCCATTTTTAAGAAGAGGACAGGTGAGAGGCCTGTTGATTCTGTTCAAATCCAGTCTGGGTGGTTTGAAATTTATTTTATGGCGGACCCACAAGGAATGAATTTCAACCTTCCCACTTTTGTAAGAACATGTTTGGTTTTACCTCTAGAGCAACACGAGTACTTACAATAAAATAGTTTTTTAAATAATGTCATTGCCTTCATTCAGAGGATTATGTACACCTTTTTTTTTCAAAATTTTATATTTTAAAAGTTTATATTTGGTAAGGAAATTTCATTTACTTTCCTTGGAAACATGTGATTTCTGTTAAATAATATTAGTTTTTAGAAATTATTATTAATAATTTTTTCGTCACTCTCCATTACCTTTTAGGACTTTATAAGCTAGAAGTTATTATTTTTTAAGTCCTCAGCTTTCCAATGATATATTATGCATATATTATCTGACAATTATTTCCGGGAATTCATTTTCAATCTAAAAAAATATTTTTCATTTTATGTCCTTTAATAAATTATCAAAATCTTTCATAGTTTATATTGAGCCTTTTTTTTTATTTCGATTAATAATGATGAACCGTTAAATATTTAAAAATAAACAAAATTAAAGGTATTTTAGAGGAAGAAATTTTAAATATTTATCATTTAAACCTTGTTAAGCAACATCAATGGGAATAAGACTTCACTGATATTAAAGAACATTTACTTGTACATTGGTGAACTGAGTTTAATCAAGATCGTTTCAGCTGTTTTTGAGAAAATTATAACGATGTGTAAAATCAATGATATAAAGTAGCACTTCCTGTTAGCTGATTATCAGGAAAATGTTGCTGTAACATTCCAGGCATTAACTCAACTTCAATACATGATCTCTGTTTCATACGACTTCTCTTTTTTGAGTTATACTGTTCAGAAACACACACAGACTCAAGGCATCTCAAAACGTGTATTTCCATTGAAAACTCAGATTCAAAAATTTTCAGGATCGCAATACTTTTCCTTGCTTTATATTACATATATAGGTAAGTGAAAGTAAAATTATTGTTGACAGTAGTGCTTTCATTCTGTTTGGATGTTGGATGATATGCTTTGATTGATGTTCTCTACTAACACTTTCATATTGAAATTTTCACTGAACTTTTTTCAATTATGGAACCTCTAACATTTAATGTGTAATTTATGAAGAAGATCGCGCCAAATGTGAGGAATATCTATATTTTTTAAAAAGTCTCTAAATTTTTTTTTAATTTGTTGAAAACTGTTTTCAAGTATCTTTTGAAATTTAAATTCACTCCTTCTTAACATTTAATCTTTACTTTGAAAACTTTAATGTTTATTCAAAACTTTTGGGTTACTCTTAATCTTGTGAAATGTATATAAGTTAACAACAAAAAGATGATCAGTTCATGATTTGCCAAAAGCAAAGGCTATGCAAGTTCATAGCTCCACTTAGAAACTAGCCTAGGTGGTGCAATAACCATCTTGGGTCACACCATTTACCCATCTTAGTACAAATCTTCCAGTTCTTCAGGTATGATGGATGTTAGGGAATCAATCAAAAGTGATTCCTATTTTATAAATATTTAATAGTTTCACACATTGTTGAAATATGCATATATGATTAATTGTTATTGTTGTTATAAAAAGTATAAATTCTCTGTTTAAAGTTTGTAGTGAAATAAAAGTGAGTTTATTTCAAATACAGAGTACTCAACTTTATTCTATTTCGAACCTAGGGATCAGTTATAACGGTAAGTTATATTTTGACTCCTAACCCGAACAATGCATGACCTTCTCAAGTACCACTCCTTGAGATCAGCTCATTCATTCTGGCCAGAAGGCCTGGCCAACAAAGCCACTCATTTGTTCACAAATTTGAATATATCAAGTTAGCCATAGATGTGATACAGCTCCTTATTCTTTCTCTTTCTCGCTCAGCTATATCTCTAACTGTTCCAACATTACTATAAAGGACTTTCCATTCAAAGACAGCTTACCTCATGCTTGAAAATGGTTTAGGTCAGCGGAGCGTAAGTCAGTAAAGGCTGGGTCAGGGTTTCATAAAGGATCAATTTGGTTTGTCTACTGTAAACCTGTTACAAAAGGTCTTAAATAGACTAATATAACATCACTTGGCCCTAGTGAGAAGCTCAAATTCATTAGAGATCCAAGATAAGTAAACCTCTTGACCAGTTCCAATGTGTATTGTTATCAAAGGCAACACTCTCATAGCATTTAAAAATCTTTTTATATATTTTTTTTAATTATTCAAATAAATATTTGATTTTAAAGAAAAACAATATTTTTAATTTAAAAGATTTAAGTAGAAAATATAAATAAATAAACGAAAATATGTTAATTCATAATAACAGCATTGAAAAATATTTTATTTTATTTTATAATGTTCCCAGATGGCAAGTTGATTTCATTTCAAACTGCGCCTATTTTGTGTTCATAGTAAAGTGAAGAGATAGACATTTGAGTCTATAAAAAAAAAAAAAAAAAAATACCTGTACCACAACAACTCATGAAGGGTCTTGGGTTCAGTACTACTTAGGAAAAGTACTGTTTCAAGGCCAATGGTTGGGCATGGAGGGGATTGGGCGAGGATCACGCTCAACTGCCAAATTTTCCCCCTTAATCAATTATTTTATTAAGGGTGCCCACTTTATATAGGCTGGGTATGACCAAAAAGGATGGTCTTCCTACACCAGGGTCGCCCCACGGCCAATGAAACAAAATAATCAATTTGTCTGCCATGAGCCAGGATTCGAACCTGAAACCTTGAGCATTGGAAGCTGAGTGCCCTACCACTGAGCTACTCCACTCTCTTTTGAGTCTATACAGGCGGAATAAATCCTAAGCTTATTGGGATAAATAGTCAGATTGAGAAACATGGCCAAGGAAGCAATGACAAGATCTTGGGAGGAATGTGGAAAGGAAATCCAAATTAATTTTGAAGAAAAAAGCCAGGATTAAAAATGTATGCAGCTTGTTTTCGGTAAAGTATGTTATATACATAAATTACAAATGTTTCAAGTGGAAGACTTCAGTCAAGTTTCATTAAAATCTTTGAAGCCCTTTTGGCGCTACAGTCTAAAGCGAATCACGTTTTTCGGCCGCCATTTCGAAAGGAAAGACCTGATAGTAATGAAACGTATATAAAAACACTTCTAAATATTATTGCGACGTTGTGTCTAAATTTCAAATAAATCGGTGAAGAACTTTCAGAGATTAGCTGTTTTAAAGAAACTACCATTTATATTTTTATTTACATACTATTTCATATTTTTATTTATTGATAACACTAAAGCTATTAAAGATAACACTAAGCTATGTCAATAGCTATTAAACAAAAAAAAAAAAGAATAAAGGAAGAAAATCGGTTGAATAATAGAGGAGAAAAAGGGGTCGAACCGTTTTGTTTTTGCCTGTTTATATAATGATTTCTTAAATAAATTGATTTTGTAATTGAAAGATAATATTTTTGAAGTGAAAATTTATATATTATTTTTTTCAGAAATAAATAAATAAAATTAAAATTAAATGAATTGACATTATTGTTTCATTATTATAAGTGAAAGATTTTTTTTTTCAAATAATGTTTTTCTCCATTTTTACTTTCCTAGCTAAATTCCAAACAACCTTTTCTTATTCCAAAATCGGCCCCTTGATTTGTTCCAAATCTTTTTAATTATTGTTGCAATAATCAATAATTTTCAGATATATACACAACAAACTATAAATTTTTCAATTGGTTTCTTGAATGTAAAAAGATCGGAAACATTTGAACTGCAATAGAACTGTTCCCTTATTGCAATATTTCTTTCTATTTCAGTAAAGTCATTTTGGAAGGCATCTTGATGTACATATGTATTTTATATGTAAAGAGTCTCTCAGTTGTTAATGGCTTAACTCCAGCCAAACCACCAGCAGATCCAACCGGGGAGGCGCGCTTCCCTCCCTGGAGGCTGAAAAAAAATTCCAAAAAGTAGCTACTAAAAGAAAAGAGAAATGTAGAGAAAATTCATCCTCATACACGAATTTCCTAAAGTTATCTTTAAAAAAAATGATTATCGTGACCAGCACTAGTGAATTCTGCCAGTGGCCGCCGTCCCTCGGATGGTAGAAAAAATATTTTAAAAAAGTTACAAAAACACTTATTTAAAGAAGAGAAATGTAGGATAAAATCATCCTCATACACGAATTCCCAAATGTAATATAAAAAAAATACTATCGTGACCAGCACTAGTGATTTCTACCAGGAGTGTGTACCTCTCTGCATGTTAGAAAAAAATTCCGAAAAAAAAGATCCAAAAAAACAGCTATTTAAAGAAAAGAGTGATGTAGTTTTGGGGCCGCCGTGAGATGGGAAGGCTTGTGCTCCTTTCGCAGTTGGTTCCTGTTAGCTCCGAACTGAAATATATTTCACAGGTGAAATACATGATGGAGGAAAATGTATTAAAAAAAAATGAACTTCATCTATTTTTTCGAACAACCTTTTATTGGAGCATAAGAAAATACGGGTTTTCTTTCGGACCTAGTTTTTACTCAGTTCCAATAGATCTGGATTCTTTGCCACCTTCAGCAACTGTAGTCTCCTTGAAGAATCCATGCGATTCATAAAGCTGATCACGATGATAATTTGTATATTTCCGATTGATTGGTCGTAGGGGTTCAGTATTATTGTAGAAAGAATGTGTTGTTCTTTTATTAAAATAGCTGCTGTTGGGAACATTTTCATGAAAGAATGTACTAACTATTTGGTCTCGGAATCGGAAATTATTCTAATTTTTTTTTTTGAGAACTCATTTTCAAACTGCAGGACCATTTATATTAATCTTTCTCAGCTTTTGACAATATCGGTCAAAATTAGCGTTCATTGATCGTATATATATATATATATATATATATATATATATATATATATATATATATATATATATATATATATATAAAGAAATACCACTTATTAAATTTCATGTCTATGCCATTTGGCATCAATGGCTTCCTTGAATAAGAATTCCTATGATTATTATTGCAATAGTAATGTAGTATACTGAGTAAATAGATAAGCAACTGGAAACTAATGAAAATATTTTTTTTTTTTTCTGAATTAATAATTGAGAGAGATAAAATATATGAAGAGTAGAAAAAATATATTGAAGAGAAGTTGGTTAGGATGTTCAGTCAAACAAAGAAAAAAGTAAAAATAAATAGATTATATTTACTATTGTTTGCCTACGTTTCAGCCCAAGTTTCAGGTCTTCATCAGGGCTAAGAAAAGATAAGATAACATAAATATAAGAAACTAGAAGATGGTAAAAGTAATAATATGTAGGTAAAAAGTACTTTGTTAAAATATATATATATATTCAGAAAAAAAAATTAATAGAACACAGATATATAAATATATATATATCATCATGTACATAAAATTCATCCTGCAAAAATCACCATTGAAAATTATAACTAATTTTATTCTACATTAAAGACACTAATAATTATTAAAATATAGGAGCATCTTGTTTTACTAATCACCACTAGCAGATCCAAGATTTGATTTTGGGGGGGAGGGCTTCAGCTGAAAGCCTTTTTTTCATAAAAATGACAATAATTACTTTGGAAAAAAAGAAAGAAACTAACTATCTATATGAAATGGTGTTTAAGTGATTCCTTAAGTCCTTTTATATGTAATCACACGAACAATAATACTTTAAGAGATAATTTGTAAATATTTTTTTCCATAAAACATGGTTATATTTTGCCATTTTGGGGGGGGGGCTTCAGCCGGAAAGCCCTCCCCCGTAGATCGGCCCGTGCTAATCACTGTGTCTTCAAATAATTTTAGCATTCAAATCGCTACGTTTTTTAATTCTTTACAATTAATTTTGTGATAGTAAATAAACTACACTTCAAATGTTATTCAGAATTAATTATTTATATTTATCTAGATTAATCTGATTGAGCTGGCGCTGTGTCCTTGTTTATGAGAAGGTTAAAATATAACAGTCGTTAGGTTATGGCTTGTATGTTTGCTTGGTTTCTCATTGTGAAACAATCATAATGAATAACTAATAATTCTTGTAATTAACCCTCCTCATTTTAATCGATTATAGACGATTTTAATATATATATATCATTTTGTGTTTAATTTTTTTTTTTGTGAATATTTAAATACTAAAAAAATGAATATTAATCCTAATGCAGACCCTACTAATAAGGAAAAATATCCTTATGTTAACGATTCACTATTATTTCGTAGAGTTCAACAGGTATATTATTTTATTGTTTAAATATAATATTATTTTATGATTTTTTTCTTTTGATTTTCTATAATTATATATATATATATATATATAATTTCATGTATTTCCAATATTTTGTAGTATATTGAAACCTTTGAGGACCCTGAAGGAATAGACACTGATTCTATGGTTGAAGACCTTAGACTGAAATTTAAAGAGTATGGTAGAAGACAAAAAAGTGCTTTTAGGGGAATGGTTAAAAGGGGTATGTAACTATTTACTATGTGTGGTTTTGGTATGTGGTTACTATGCTTGATTTATATGCAGGTATGTAACTATTTATATATGCAGGGGTATGTAACTATTTACTATAGTGGTTTTGGTATATGGTTACTATGCTTGATTTATATGCAGCCTATAAACAACATAAATCCATGAGCCTGCAAACATAATAATAATAATGTCATCTTTTGATTGTTTTGAGATAATTATTCATTTACTATTATTGAGTGTAAATTCTACACAATGTATGACTGTGTCAAAACTCAAATTGGGAAACCTAATAAATGTCAATAATACTACAGGTCAACTATGATTAGTTGACAGCATGAGGACAAACCCATGTGGAACTAAGTTGAATCTAACATTTTGTTTATTGCCCTAACCCTCTGGCATTACTTAAAAAATATATATAACTAAATACATACATTACAAAATTATGATATATTTCAGAATATGTTTTTAATTATATATATTTTGTAAGTAATATCACAGATTTATGGAAGAACGAAATGTGAGTTTTAACTGGAGTTCACCCCTGGCTGGTCATCTACTAATCATGATTGATCCCAAACCCATCGGTAAACTATAATTAAATATACAATATTATTACATATGTTAGAAAAGAGGTTAATAAAGGTAGCGAGTAATAGAATATTGAACTCATTAATACATTTCCCCTCATTCAAACTAGTTTCGAACCTTTCACAATAGCTCTCTTCAAATTACCATCTTCTGGCTAAGAAATAGAGAGAGAGAATCACTTTATTATCATAAAAGGGTGCTGTCCAATTACATTGGGTTGCTTTAAACACAGCATACTTATTAATCGCTACAGACAATTTTCCAAAACTAATATACAATTATATAGTATTAACAATATGTATGAGCATAGTATACAAATATTTTTTTTATATATACATATTTTCTCTCTCTCTCTCTCTCTCTCTATATATATATATATATATATATATATATATATATATATATATATATATATATGTATATATTTTTTTAAAACTATTTCTTTCATTCATTTATTAGCATTATATATCCCTTTCTCTTCCTTCTCTCTCCTTATACATTTTTCTCATTCCCTAGATTCTCTCCTCTCTCTTCCCAACCTAGTTCATAAAATGCATACAAATACATAAAATGCAGTGGACATGGTCAATAAATAATGTAAAAATCCTGTAAAACATACATGCCTCTCTCCATGAACAAACTCTCTCTCTATCCATGAACATGGTGATGGATAATTCCCAGGGAGTCAAGGATTTTATGCTCCGCCAATCTTGCCACCTCCTTTATGTCGACACCAAGGTCCTCCATGAAACTCTTTGTTGAGTTTGTTATCGTTCCGCGATCTCCGAACCAAAGGCCTCTCATGTGGTACTCTCTCGAGCTGAAACTCTCGCGGAACTTTTCACTAAGGAAAGGGATGCATTTCTCATAGGTATTTTTTTCTCTCTTTCCACTTATCCTGCCTGATCGAGGTCATTGGTCTAATACCTCACGGTAGGATCCAAAATCATCACCGACTTTCCCGTCTTAGGAAATGTTACAATGTCATCATATTGGGTGGATCCATTCGTATCTATACAATATACTTCCTCGAAACAGGTGTAATCTCTCTCTTTAAGGAGCCTCATCAGTTCATGTTTGACTCTGTGGTGACGGCGTTTTATAAGGAGGGAGTTGTTGGGGCATTTTCCAAGTTCATCAAATCAATGATATTATTTTCATCTATATTTTCTCCTCCATGAATATTTTTTACTAATTCAGCTAATATGGTAGCATCTTCTACATGGCCATTTGTTTCTGTTAGTTGACCATAGTTTGAATTTTTCTCTAAACTTGAAAATTTTCTCTGTGACTTCAAGATGGTTTTAATGATGCTCCAATAAAAATTGCTATCCAAATTCTTAAAACCTTTCCGAAAAATATAAAGGTCATATCTTTTATCCTTTTCTTTAGCAAGTTAAACCTGTAAATACTCTTTGTTGCCGCTATTTCATCCTAATACATGGGCTGGAATGAGAACAGTGAGACAAACAACCATAACCATTTTTTTTGTTTCATTTTTTTTTTTTTTAATCTGTCACTTGGAACAATCGTGCACCTTGCATATAATCAGAAATTGTCAGTACTTAAAATAACATTTATAACATCAATGTTCATACTCTTTAATTTATTGTATCCATGAAACTATTTATAAGGTTTCTTATGTTAAATAATATACATAATCAAAAAATTAGTTATGTTTTTCATTTATAGATGATAAATAAGACGCAGTCATTTAAGATTTTTATTGTTGTAGCCAATGTTTCAACCTAAGCGTGTGGGTCATTATCAGGGCATGTTTCCAGTACTCAAGGTGTTCAGGTCAATTTATGTACTTAAGCACCTTCAGTACTGAAAACATGCCTTGATGATGGCCCACGTGCTTGGGTTGAATCGTCGGCAACAACAATAAAAATCTTAAAATGACTGCTTCCTGCCTATTTATATTCTATAATGTAGAGATCTGTTCATTTTTTTTTACTCATTTTATTATACAATAACCATACCATACATAATTACATTTGAATGTTTTAGAGAGCTTCAAAATTTTTGATTTAGGGTAAATGTTCAAGCAGCGTTAATAAGTATGATTGATGATTGATAAGTAACAGTTCTTTGAACTTTTATGTGCAAAAATTTAAATATTGATGTCATTTTATTTATCCTGGATTCATCTTATAGAAATACTTCTCACTTTACCAAGACTCATTTAAAATCCATAAAACATTCTCCTAAATTTAAAAAAAAAATTGTAAATTTATAAAATAGTTCTGTTACACTGGTAACAGTTTGGTATAGAATGTTCCTACAGTTAACAAAGTTGAAAACAAGAATGTAATTATGCGAAATGAAATGTTAACATTTTATATTCTTCCGTTTAAAATAAATATTAACAAAAGTTAACTCTTAACTTATTATAAGACTAGCTTCTTGCGTTTTCCAATTTAAATTTATCGGTTAAGGCTGAACATTGTCAAGAATTTGTTTTGGTCAAAAGGATAACATATCTTTGCTCTGTATTAAACCACATCACTAATAATTATTTTTTAACAAGAGAATAGTGAATGTTTCCATTTTTAAGACTCGTTACATTCAGTTTATGTATATATTTGAGTTTGACCTAAGGCTAACCAGCCACCGAAAGTGCAGCTGAGCTGAGCATAGCAAGAGCAGGTCGGCAACTGATTGCTCAGCTCAGTCAGAAACTTGCTTTGCATTGGTATCATTCTCATATTGCATCTAACATTTAAAAAAATATATATATAACATCGACAGCCACATTGCAAAAGCCTGTAAGAACAAAAACTAAAAATTTTCAGGAGACGAAAAAAACTGTAATTTTGTTCTATGAGCATTATATTCTTGGTTAAATTGGCCTAAGACAGAAATGTAATGTTCTATGTAACTTTTTTATCATATTTCTGCTAAATAATCTTTTCGAGCCATTACTTCTAACTTATACCACATTTTCGTTATTTTGAAAAACAGATATTAGTTAGGCAATCAACTTTATTGTAATAACACCCATGACTTTGTTAATAATGGTCATATCATGACAGGAAGTAAGTCAGTTTCGGAAATGAAGAAAAATGATAATTTAAATGAAAATCTGTAATGCATTTGATTAGAAAGCGAGTATTTGATCAGATAGGTTATTCACTTTTTTGTCTCTCACTGTAAGGGCAGCTCTAACCGAGTGTATGCACCTCATTTTATAGTAGTCTTTGAAGTTTCTTTTTTAACATATTCAACTTCTTATGGAAATGGTTTGATTCGCGAATGCTTGGTACGTTCTAGGTAACCTGCTGATTTGTTGATCACTTCGTTTGTGTCTGAGCTTCTTGCGATTTTGGAGATTCATTGGTTTGAAAAGATAAAACTAGATTTCTTTTTTCGTCTCATGTTAAATTTTCCAATTAATGAATATTAATTGGGGGCATTTTAGATTTTTTCCAGTCAAGCTCATTTTGCACTTGTCAGATTTTGATTGTTTTTAAGGCGGTTAAATATTATATTCCCACTTAGCACTCTCTTCTTCTTCTAGTTCCAGGGTAAGCATTGCTGTCTTTAGAGTAGGGAAACCAGGCTGGAAGTGCCCGCCACTTATTAGAAATTTAAAAAAATAATGCTAAGAAGGGTATGAGAAAAAATAATTTTAGCCTATTATTAAAGATAATTGACGTGGTAGCAAAACGCTTTATACATTCTATATTTACATGACTTCCTTTCATTGAGCATTTCGTTACTTTTTTTTGGTAATGACACAATCTCTATAATCTTCACTGTAACTTACAGTTTTTTACAACACAATTTGCTGTTTTTTAGGTTACAGGTTTTTACAAAAGAATATAGAGAAGAAATGGAACATCATAGATTCATTTTGTCATATCACAATTTGTGCCAGGAAAAGATTGACCAGAAAAGCTCAAAACATCATTTTCCAAAGAAATTCTCCTTACAGTCTTTTACAGTATGGCTGTCGATATACAACATTTTAATAAAATAGCAGAGTTGAAAAGAAAAATCAAATATTTTCCCTTACTCATTCGATTATGAATTCTTCCATATCAATTGTATATTTTACTCTGAACCAAAATAAAATAATTTGAGAGGTTGTGTAGTGAGAACAAGGATAAAGAAAGGATGACACTAAGGAACAAAGTTGTGAGGCAGCAGTGAGTAGATGTAGAGAAAGTCAAGCGTAGCATCAAAACCGAACCTCAGTTGAGCCAAAGTGGAGCTGCCTCTTGCAACGCCACTCAACTGCGTTCAGCTCAGCTCTGCATCTGGTGGCCAGCCTTTAATTAAAAACCTTTGATTCTGTTTTGGAAGCTGACTCAGCTACGGTCAGCTCAACTCCGCTTTCGGTGGCCAGTCAGCCTAAGACAGGCCTTTCAGCTAGTGGCAACAGGCTATATATAAAGTTCCAGTAGTTGACACCCATTATATTTCCACATCTTTTTCATAAAATAAGTTAAAACACTATCTAAAAAGACTATAAGAACAAATGAAGCAAATATTTTGGGATAAATCGGAGTTGTTAAAGAGAAAAAGAAAAACCTAAAGTTATGATGGCCTTACCAATAGATGGTTGTTCTTGAGCACAGTATATGGAACTTGAGGGACCTTCGTAATTTGTCACTCATTATTTCGGTTACAGTTTTCAGCAAGACTAAAACAAAGCAGACTATATACAAAGAGAAAACATAGAAACTAAAAATGTATGTAATAAAGGTCTAGGAGGTCCTGGAATCTTATTACCATTTTTGGAAGTGGATGTCAGGTATTGGTACACTGTCAGCTACTGGTGGTTTTAACCTACCACATTCTGACTTACTCTAGATATTAGAACTTAAATCTTGACTGTTTAGACCTTGCAATATTAGCAAACAAAAAAGAGGTCTAAATCAAATGACTAAATAAAAATTCTAAATTGAGCAACAATATGAATTCGGAAATTCAGAATTAGGGGCAAAATGAAAATAATACACTACTTAAGAGGTTATGGTACTTTCAGAAAAAATAACAGTAATTAAGTAAAACAAGAAGTAGGTGGTGGGGTGCCATCGGGGGTTAAAGTGTCAGGAAAACATGTGTTGCTCTACAACCAGATAGTCGGGTGCTTTTAACCATGGCATTAATTCCTCCTCCTCTCCCCTGGTCCAGAAAAAAATCTGTATAGCCGAGGAGGCTAGGTAGGGAAAGAGAAGAAAAAAACAGAAAATGATAATAGATCTTTTTTATTAAATTTCATACACTTTTTTTAATCGAACTTTTATCTATTTCGTTGTACATTCAAAATGCATTTTGTCAATGCACCCTTGATTCTTCTATTATTTCTATTTTAATATCACTAAGTTTTCAGTAAATTAAAACTAATTAAATTTTACCTTTACGTCAAGTTATTATATATAATTATATGATATTAAATTAAATACAACTTAATTATTACATTTACTATAAATATGGATGTTAATCTTCATAAAAAAAATATATGACTAGGATTTTTAATAATTTATTTAAGTAATATTTCCATTTAAACATTTTATGAATTAATTCCAAAAAATACATTAAAGAAAACATTTAATAAAAAATAAAGTATATATTTAAATTTTATTGTAATTTACTACTTCTGTTATGAATATCCTTACCCCTTCAATGCAGGATTCTGTACATCTGGAGTTCTCCAGTTTATTTAACTATTTGGGGGGCATTTATTGCTCATTCAAGGTTGCGTAAATTAAATTGTATGATTTTCAATGCATTAATTAATAAATAGATAATTAATTTTTGATGCACACACAATTCATGGAATGATCCTCAATATCAAGAGCTACAAAGGCTCAGGAATCTTATCTTATTAATAACATTATAACCTATCCATTATATTGCTAGCAAATTCAAATAAATACTTACAGGTCATGAAAAAAATAAATAATGGGTTACAATAAAAAATCTAAATTGCCCATATCTCCGCTGATCAGCATTAACTTTGGGAACCCACGAGCCTGTGTCACCATGTTGAACCATCACAAGTGTTTTACAATTTTGAAGCTCTTAATTTAGATGTTCAGCATTCTTTTTATCTATCACAATAGACTTTTAATGGACTCCATCATTAGCTATAACCATACTTATTAATTATGCAAAAATAAATTAATGAACCAATTTAAGCATTACTAAATAAAACAAAAGCAATATCACAATAGTCTTCTTGGTCACCTGAAGAGGGCTGTAACATTTCTAACAGCTGTTTTAGAGTTCATCAAAAAAGATAATGATTTAATTTTTCCTTTAGTGTATTTTTTATAACCAAATAATTTTATGTCCTATTGAAGGTATCTATGAAACATATGATCACAGGACACAATTAATGAATATTTTTATGAACAATAACCAATTCTCATTTATAAAGATATAACTCACGCTTTATTTTAATTCATCTAATATGTTGATTAAACAAGATAGACATAAGATATGTGGTGGGTAAAATATTTAATCATTAAATAAAATGTTAACTATAGTAAAAAAATATATTTGGATTATAATTTTATTCATTTATTTTAAAGTTATAAGTTTGCCTTATCAGCTTACAGGATTATCATGGAAAGCAGAGATGAAAATAATTCAGCCTCTGAAAATTCTGAATCCGAAGTAGAAATCGACAATATTGATGATAATGATGAAGAAGATGGTCCTGTTGAAGTTGGATTGGAAGCTCAGAATGTCTCTGTAAGAAAAATTATAAACTACAGTTAAACTGTTAGATTGCTTCAGTTGTTAATTTACTTACCTTATATATATGAGGACATGATGGCTGAACACGTTGGGGCGTAAGTCTCAGAGTGCCTGGTTCAGAATATTGTATAACGTAAACTGAATATTTAATATTCCGTGAGTGAAAGTAATCTGAATTTCATTTTTCAAATACACTGAAATACACTTCCAATAACAAAGTACCTCAAAATGGTCTGTGTCTGGGTGTATGTGAGCAGTCTAGTTCAGAAATGAAAAGTATGAAATTCAATTACTTATTTAAGGCAGATGGTATATTCCTGAAATGTTGCAGCAACTTTTTCTCTAAAATCCGTTCACCAGAAATGCCATGTGATATAGATTTTCTGAACAATGGCTCTAATGAGTTCTGAGATTTTCATTGCCTACTAGCAATTAGGTTTTGCATCTATAAATATGATCAAAATTCAGAAATGTGTTCTTTAAGATTTGGTTCCAATCAAAAATACACTTTAAAAGCTTTTTGCAATAGCCCAGTTTTGTCAGAAAATAATTATTACTTGAAGAGTGGTGAGTGAAAGTTGTGTGATGCACACACCATATTTTTTTCACTGCAGTCCTTATTGCTATGATTTCCTCAGCAATGTGGACAGGCAGTTGAACCCTGATATTGCTCCTTTGAATGATTCTTGCAGCAGTTGGTACATGGTCAGATTCTGAAATAAACTTCAGCCTGGTGCTTGCATCCTATGCTTATTTTTTTGTGGATTACTTTTTTTCCTGTCCTGTTGTTTCTGGTGTTTTTCGGGAAAAGCACAGGTCAAACTGCTTTCAATCAATGTCCAGTGTGTAGTTTTGTTCCACTTGGTATATTATCAACTATAATTTCTTTTTTGAGATCAATCCAGTTTTGTTTCTTCGTTTAGTCTTTCTGAAAAAGTTTTCCTGTTTCCTCAAGTTTCCTAGAGATTATTCCTCTTTCTTTAGGATTGGTTTTTGTTATTACAAAAATTTGTTTTCGTGTTATTTTATTAATACTAATTCTTATGTTTTATGATTGATTCAAATTATTTTTTTCACCTCGTTTGAATTCTGATTACTTTTACTATTTGATATTATAGGAAGAAGTTGACTTATTAGTTTGTGGTACAGGCCCCTTTTTATCAAATTATTAACATCTGCCTGAAATTTCGTAAATAGTTTCTTCTCATCGTAACCTACTAGTATTTTATTTATGAAAATACTCGGGATTAGAGTGTTTTAAATCTGGAGATTGGCAAACTTTGTCTATTTAATTATGTACCAAAAACTCGTAAACACCCATTTGATTTCCTCTTGAATCGTAAGATAATTTGAGCCCAAAGTTGAGAAAAGGTGCCCTACTAAAATATTGGGCCATTTAGCCTATATTACCTCATTATTTTGACATTTTGGGGTTGTAGGTCATGCCAAACGGCTCAATATTTTTTAAGGTCACCTTTTTCCTTGATTTTGTGATCAAATTATCTTACGATTTAAGTGGTAAGCAAGTGGGTATTTACGAGTTTTGAATAACTAATTAAATAGACGATGGACTATATGTTTTTATTGAGGAACGACGGTTTCTAAGTAAGATGGTTTTTGATTACCTTGGCTTGGCTATTATATTTCAAAATTCTGTTATAAGAATGCCTTCTGAATGTTGAATGTTATGTGTTGCATATGTTCACTTATTTTGCTGATTAATTGGAATAGCCTCTGCTTTGGATCAATGTGTAACTTTCTGAAAACAGCTGTTTTTTTTTAAATCTCAGCAACTCAAACACATAAATAGATATTCTTATTAATAAATGATTGTTATTTAATTATAATAAGAATGGTTAAGTATTACTATGTAAATTACTTATATTATCTTATTTTGTTTTACAGGTTACTTCCACACCTTACTTAAATTCCATCCAAAAAATATTTATGAAGCAGAATGGGTAAGTTTAGTTTAATTTAATTTAAATTTACTAAATTGTTTAAAAATTTTATTGACTACCTGAAAACTTTTTTCAGTAGTGCATCTGAAATGCAGGAATTAATTAATATTAGCAGTGACGAGGATGAAAAAAATTCCAATGGTAATGGTAGAAGTCAGATTCCAACCAACCTTAAACAACGGGTAAATATATTTAATAAAATTATTATTTTTTATGTTATGTTTTCCGTGTAGAAGTGTTGAATCTTGTAAACAAGGAAAATGTTAAGACACTATTTAATAAAATATATTGTAATTTAAAATTATATTCAAATATTTATAGTTCCTGTTTTCAGAAGAGAAGTCATGTTATGGCTCAGTTTACTAAACTGCCCAATGTTAAAGTTACACCTGTTGAAATCAACAAAAGACCTTCTCCAGCTGATGCTTACACGCCAGATCCAAAGAAGCCTAAAATAAAGGGTACAATCATTGCACCTATACCCAGTGTAACTTTTGACTCTTTTGGAGGTTTTCCTAAAGTTCTTCAAGTAAGTATAACTATATTTATTTGTAATAATAAATTTTATAAAAATTGTTTAATTTTGATATATTTTAATTGTTAGCTTATTTTTTTAAGATTTTTATCTAATAAGCATTTTTATATTTCTAAATTTCAGGATATAAGTGAATTAGTTATTCACATAAAAGATGTGGACATTTACACAGAACTTGGTGTAACTCCACCTAGAGGATTTCTTCTCCATGGGCCTCCAGGTTGTGGGAAAACACTTTTGGCACAAGCTGTTGCTGGTGTAAGTTTAATATTTGTAAAACCACTGTAAATAATTTTTTTATAAACATTTCTCGCATATTTCGATTTCAATATTTGAATGTTCACAAATCTAATTACTTAATTATTGTATTTTTTTTTCCTTTATAGTCTCTCCCAAAAACTTTTGACCAAACTGAAATTAGTTATCTTATATATAGTTCAAGTAAATGTAAATCTGCTGTTTTTAATCTCGTTACTAATTCTAAATAGCATATTTAGAGAATGAGATAACTCAGTGGTAGGGCACTGATCGTCCAATGCTCAAGGTTCTGGTTTCGAATCACAACTCATGGCAGAAAAATTATTTATTTTGTTTCATCATCTGTATAGCGACCCTAGGATCGGGAGACCCTCCTGGAGCACACCCAGCCTCTATAAAGGGAGTACTCTTAATTGAAATAATTAGTTAAGGGGAAAAACCTGGTGGTTGAGTGTGATCTCAGTCAAATCACCTCCTTGTACAACCGTTAACTGAGAAACAGTACTTTCTCTAAATAGTGCCGAACCCAAGACCCTTCATGGATTATAGTGGTACAGGTTAGGTGGATAATGTACACAAAAAACAAAGAATCAAACATATCAAAACCTTACAATAATCTTCTCCGATCATTTACGAAGTTATCAACTCTTTACAGAACCCCAGGCAGTGCTAAAATCGAGATAGCGGCCATATTTCATACACATTTTGTAAATAATTTTCTCGACTTTACACATTTAAGAGGTTTACAATACTTAGCACTGGTTGCATGAATACCTCTATTATCTATTTTTAAGGAAATATTCTATTATAATTATGATTTACAAAATCATTAGATTTGATGACATCAATATAGACAGCAATGTGTTCAAACACGTAGAGAAGTTTAGGTATCTAGGGTCTACGATAACAAATTTGATAACTTTGTCATCGTCATTTTTTAAAACATTACCAATTACCTTATCAGTCAAGATGAATTCTCTTTTATGAACATATTTTTACATTATTTCAAATTTTCAGGCATATGTTCTTTCGTTAAATGAACCATCAAATTTGGACTCTTTAATTTAAATTATGTATAGAAAGCAATGGCTTTCGACCGATTGACCGAAGTTTTGTGTTTTTAAAATGGCTACTAGTTTTAAGTCCTTTTGTTAAATGAAATAGTCGGTTGCTTCTAGTCTATACAGAAAATTCATAATACAAATAGCTTAAGCGAATTTAGATGCTGAAACGTGAAAGACTTAATGGATGGTGAGAATCCAGTCTATCTACAGATTTAATGAGTTTATAATAATAATAATAAATAATAAAATGCTTAGTGAACATGACGGTGCTGATGCTGACACTACCGAATGGTACACATCTCCCTCCACCCTTGGCCATCCAAACCCAGTTCCGCTAACAAAATCAGCCTTAGCACAATCCTTCCATCTTAGTTAGATCTATCTCTCGGACGTTTTCCAGTTGGTACAGCACATATTAATCTTTTAGGAATTCTTTCGTTATTAAGCCCAACAATTTTTCACGCACATTCTATTTGCCATAATGTAATCACTTCAACTATATTAACCAGGTACAGTTCACACAATTCAGCATTGCGTAACCATCTAAATTCTCTGGTTGATGCATCCTTCTTCAGTTCGAATATCCTATGTAATACTTTATTTTCAAAAACCTTAAGGTGTTGCTCATCCCTTACTCTGTTTTGCATCCATAAAGAACTGTACGTATATATCCATAAAGACCTCCAATCCGCCATAGATAAACAGAAAATCTCCATCGTAATCCCTTTTTGACTTTTCCAAAGCGTTTGATTCCATCAATCATGAGATCCTTCTTTCCAAACTCCAAAGCCTGCCCATATCAAAAAGCGTCCTCAAGTGGTTTCTCTCCTTCTTATCCGATCAATCGGAGGCAGTTCTTATTCTGAACAAACCTCTATCGTTTTTCCTTCAACTAATACGAGGTGTTCCTCAGGGTTTCTCATTCTCTCCCACCCTTATCTCTATTTATATTAGTGACCTTCCTGTCACCATTCAACACTCCTGTTACCCCCTATATGCCGATGATTTCCAAATCTATCAATCATTCCAACCTTCTGAGATGGCTGAGGCTAAAGCAAGACAAAATAAATATTTACACATTAAAACCTCTCTGGACTTGAGGATTACAAATATACGGAATTGCAAAACCGACCCATACAAAAAACTTCAAACTTTTAATTCTAAAATACTATGACTAATTATCCAAGCACCCTGGTACATGAATAACAAAATCTCACATACTGACTTGCGCATCCTTACTATCAAAGAATACAAACGATTCCATGATAAGAGTACTACAAACAATTCCATGATAAATTGAAATGACACTCCAACCAGCTAATAAAAGAAATCGCCACAACTTTTATACCGGAGTATACCAGAAGACAATTGAAAAGGGTTTAGATGAGGGACCTACTTACGTAATTACGTGAGTAAATTAAAACTGCGGAAGGGGTACCGCCAGCTATTGCTTTTTCCACATGCTTATCAAGCCTCTTTATTTTATTTATTTTTCTTATTGTCATTATATAGCCAACACATCTGCTGATTCTTAAGAAATGTAATTAACATGTGTGGATGGAAAAATAAAAGTGAAAAAGATATACCTAGACCAATAAATTCATTTGTGATAGAAAAGTTCTCACCGGCTCAGAATGTATGAACGTCATGAAATTAAATGTTAATTACTCTCCTCTCTGCGGAATACCTGGGGCCAAAGGCTGGAAGCTGGTTTAACGGAGATGTTGGATCCCTCGGCCACAATTGTGGTCGAGACTCAGAAACTCCAGCTCATGTGTGAGCTATTGTCCACATAACATGCTTGTCACTATAGTATAAAGCATTGCATAGCTGAATTCCTTGAAATGAAAAAATATAAATGTTTCTTCGATGTTTATTGGATATCGAGAGCTTGACAAGATTCATTGATATTTTAGAGTTGAATGTCACACAAAAAGAGGCACTAATAAAGGATTCCACAATCAGATTTGAAACCAACGATCAGAATCAGGACATCAAAATACAGGTAGAGAAAGAGCAAATTTATATGAAATGCATACCTTACCTGAAGAAAAAGTAAACATATCAATTCGGCAAGAGAGAATTCTAAGTTAAAGAACTATAATTCCGAAGCAGAGGAAGTATCCCTCTTAATACAAGTAATTTCTTGCTGAGTTCTGTGTTGGAATGGAGCAGATGGAGACCATAACTGTAACTATTATTTTAGACTCGTTAGGAATCCTCCATTACCACGTATATTGATCTTGGCCTTCTCTTATTTGATTTTGTAGACCGTTTTTGACATATTTGATATGTATTCCAATGGTCTGACCTCTCTTATTTTTAAAAATATTATCTATTGATTGATGAGTATGCTATGTTATTTAGCAATTCAACACATTTGAGCAGCTGTGCTATATTATTGTAGTTCTCTCCTTGTTTGGCTTTTCTTATTTTTTCTTTTATACTTTTTTCTACTTTTGTTTAGTATATTTTTTTATTGCTTCAGTTAGCAAATTTAGTTTTGACCAAAACTGCTTTTTCAAATAAACAAAATAAAACATATTTTTATACAAAATATACAGTGGAATTTTTCATATTTTATTTTCTATACATTTTTACGTGTTTCAGTTTCCATAATTCTAAGTATTCATACTTTTAGTATATTTCTATATCCCATACTAATTCATATTTCTGCAGAGACATACAATGTTATATGTATTTTCATTACTTTATTTATTCTTGGTTTTTTTTCTTAGTCCTAGTGAAAGCTCTTCAACTTACACCAATACGTTTGCACACAACAAATTGATAGTCTAACTGACTGTTATGGAAAATGTTTTTGAACTGTTTTTTTTATTTTCATCATTTTCTGGTTTATAATTTGATTTCATTACCTCTTTCATCTCTTTAAGGAACTGAAAGTACCATTGGTTAGAGTTTCTGCCCCAGAACTGGTTGCTGGAGTGTCAGGTGAATCAGAATCCAGAATAAGGGAGCTTTTTGATTCTGCTGTTGCCAGAGCTCCATGTATACTTTTCATTGATGAAATAGATGCTATCTCTCCTCCAAGAGACGTTGCTCGAAGAGAGATGGAAAGACGAATTGTTGCTCAACTTCTTACATGCATTGATGGCAAGTACATAATCTTTAATCTATAAGATCATAGACCTATTTAACCATGATTAAATTTTAACTGGAAAATTACTCATTATTACTTCTGTTTTGTAATCTATTGCTGATAAGTGTGACAGCAGTTATGGTTTCAAAATGAACTGTACTGTAACCATTTTCCTTCCATGGGTTGTTAAAATTCAGCATTCAAAATATTAAAAGAAATAAGGTTTCATACATTCTGCTGTATATCGTAAGAGGCCAGATTTAAAAGATTTCATATAAATAAATACAAATACAATGGAACAGACACAGGTAACCCTGGGTAAATCTACCTGGACGACCTTAGCGATCTCTCTGGGCTTGCCATCTTTCATCAGGAGCAATGGACCCTAAGGCACAATATGACTGACACAACACACACCTGCAAAACCATACCCAAGGTAAACAGATAGCGGCAGAGAGAAAGGGACAAAACAATTTTGAGAAATATGAAATGGCCGTACAGCCTTAAGCCAAGGTCATCCCCTCTGCTACGAATACTTCAGCGAATGGGAAGAAACTTGGAAAATAAAGTGAAAAACAAGAGTCTGGGACAACACTCAGCTTGGATTCAAGAAGAGAAACAGTCAGTATCAATCAATCTGAGACCACGAGAGATGCAGGAGAACTGTGTACTTGAGAGATGTGCATAGCAACCGAGAGAAGAAGAGACCTCTAAATGACAGCAACACCAAACCCCAGGCAGAAATAGCAAATGGCTCCACTATACAGTTAGTCATAATATTCTTTCAGAAATGATGTTGCGTACTTAAATCTGTCCTCATACTAGCATTCTGAAATAATATAGTCCGTGGTACAGATCCCTTTCTATCAAATTATTTGCATCCGCCTGAAACTTCATAAATAGCTTCATTTCATCATAACTTACAAATACATTATTCACGAAAATTCTCGGAATCTAAGATACGAAAGTAGGAGTTCTGTGGTATCTAACCCGTAAATACACCATTCATATATTTTTAAGTTGATCAATTCCCTTCTGGAGCCGATACAAATACAAATATAAATATCAAATACATTCAATTGAAATAAATGCGGTTCCCAGAACCACCTACACACCATAGAAACCCGATGTGCGGGAACATAGCAATTCTGATTAGCAGAGTATGTTATATAGTATACTATAGGTTTTAATATAACTTATAATATCATCAATTTCAATTTCAAAATTACAAATGATGGTAAAAATATATTCGCAATTATTTAATTGATTTTATTTATCATTAAATAGAAATCAAACTATTTCAAATAAATTATTTGAACTAAGTAACAGTTAATAAATATTTCCCTATTCCATTCAAAAGATAATAGAAATATTAGAGCGTTGTCCACTTCTGCATTCTCGAGTTAGAGGCAAGGCAGGTTCGAGTCTGGCCGGGGGAATCCAAATTATTTTTTTTAACAAATCTTTATCTTCCCACTTTGGTTAGAATAAGTTAATAGCCTGGAGGATTGCACATCTTTACTGTCATAATTAAGTACATAAGGACATTAAGCCAAAATAAAGAATAAAAAAGGTAATTTAAGTTCAATTAAGCAGCCGGTTGCGAATTCAGAATCTTTCAGTGAAGTTGAACACTTAACCACCAGACTACAACACTACTGAAGGAATAATATGTTGACAATTTACTGTAACATATCTCTTATATTTTACAAATAATAATATAACCTCGGAAGATTACTTTATACTGTTGTGATTCTCCCAAAATAAATCAGAGGTTGTTAAATAAAAAACCAAATTATAAGAATATTAATATAATAAACTGAAATTAACAATTATTCTATCTCAGGTATGGGTTACTGACAATCAGATCATAACACTCAGACGAACTAAAATTAACTGTACTGTTTACTGTTTGATTTTAAAATAAAGTTAAATATGGATTGGTAAGCTAACCTGTTTTCTATAGATACTGTTTCTTCCTTGGTTGCACTAAATTCATTTGTCTTCAAATGCTTTCCAATCTTCTGACAAACACAACTTCCAAAATGGTGACACTTTCTTCTATTCAACTCAAGATCCCTGGGAGATCTTCTCTCTTGTAATTCCAAACAACTACTGACTCTGTCAAACAACAACTTCCAAGATGGTAATACTATCACTGGGTTTCACCCACTGGAACCAGGATCCCTTCTCCTATCCTCTGTTCACTGCAGCCACACAATAACTGCTTGTCAAAACAAAATCCTTTGTCCCATCCTCTCTTTGGGATTTTCCTGTTTGGGAAAACCACAGAGCAGCTATTTTCTTTTCCCAGAACTAGATTAGCTTGCCTTTTAACTGTTACATTAATTTATTGAACTATTTTTAACAACATTCCATTAAGTTGTATATTACATTACATATCTGTATTTTGTATTTGTATTTGTATTTACATATCTGTATTTTGTATTTGTATTTGTATTTGTATCTGTATTCTGTATCTGTATCTGTATTTTTCTAACTTGTGCCATTCTACCTTTATTATTCCAATTTGGATTCCGCACATCCCATTCCACTATCCAGCAATGTCATCGTGTGGTAGACGTTGTCTCCTCTGCATTGGAACGCGGAATGTATTGCACTGGAGTTTTTCTCGATGTTGAACAGGCGTTTGATCGAGTCTGGCATCCGGGATTGCTTTACAAACTCTGTAAATTCCATCCCCCTACTTATTTTCTTATCATCAGTTCCTTTCTTACTGATAGACACTTCAAAGTAGAACACAATAATACCTATTCATCCCTCTTTTCTCAATCTGCCGGAATTCCTCAAGGTAGTATCCTTGGTCCTATCCTTTACACAGTTTATACAGCTGATATCCCAACCCATCCTAACACTGTCATCACTACGTATGCTGATGACACATGTATCCTGTCAGTTAATAATGATCCAACAATTGCATCCCAAACTCTTCAATCACACATCACAAACCTTGAAGAATGGTGTCAAAACTGGAGGATTAAAATAAATTTCAATAAATCCCATCAAATCACCTTTACCCTTCGTCGTAAACCAATGACTTGCTGCCCTATAGTATCCTTTAATAACACCCCACTTATCCCTGTAGAACATATCTGATACCTAGGACTCCAGCTGGACAAACGTCTCACTTGGAATCCTCATACAAGATTGAAACGACAAGAAACTGCTCGACGTTTCCGCTTACTCCAACACTTACTGGACCAACGCTCTAAACTTCGAATTAATTACAAACGACTCATATACATGACTATAATAAGACCTATTTGGACTTATGGAGTTGAGCTATGGGGCTCCACTAAACCATCAAATTCTTCTCGTATCCAATCTTTACAATCCAAAATCCTTCGTAAAATCCTCAATGCTCCTTACTTTGTCTCAAATAAAATAATCCATAAAGACCTCAATGTTCCATATGTTTCCGATTTGGCCAAATCCAGATACATATCCTTCCATAAATAAACCTTCCTCTTCGATTCCTGATAACCCTCGGAGGTGTCTGAAAAGAAGATGGCCTCGTGATCTTCTCATGTAGACAAATTATTAGAGTGCTACCAATGGGCAGTTTCTCAACAAGCGTGTTTCATGTGATTATATTCCTCTGTACGCATTTACTTGATGTATTCATACTAATACAGTTGTAAATACCATAATAAAAGTTTAAAAAAAAAAAAAAACCTTTGTTATTTGAATGGTGAAATGGATTGTTACTATCTCGTTGAAGAGAAAATTCATTATACTTAATGTTGGTCTCACATAAAACAACACCATTCTATCACAATGTAGCTATTGAATGGATTGGTACTACTCTATCACTAAATGACCCTAATTTGTGCAAAGATGCATAAATGTAGCAAATATAAAAAACTACATAAACTCAAATACATGTCCTTTTACACTACATAGAAAAGAAAATAGTTACAAATATCCTTATAGGTTTTTAATTAATAATATTTCTTATAACTAATAAAAGAGGGTTATTGTGCTGTCATGTTCATTGTTTAATTATTTTTTTCTTACCCTTAGCATATTGTTTGATATTTTGTCAAAACATGAATGCAACTACTTCAAAAATTTCTTGATATCCTTATGTTATTTTGATGAATAAATATATTTCTTTTTTTGTATGAGATTAGAATGATAAGCTATGTTTTTTATTATTCTATTTTCAGGGCTCAGTGAAGTTGAAGGTGGAAGCAAGGTAATAATTATTGGTGCTACAAATCGACTAGATGCTCTGGATCCAGCACTGAGGAGAGCAGGAAGATTTGATAGAGAAGTTTGTTTGGGTATACCTGATAGAACTGCTAGGAAACAGATCCTTCAAGTTCTTACCTCTGGGATAAAACTAAGTCCAGATATAAATTTAGATATACTTGCTGCCGCTTCTCCTGGATTTGTTGGTGCAGACCTAAAGGCACTGATGTCTGAAGCTGCAATAGCTGCTGTAAATAGGTTAATATATATTTTTTTAAATTTATATTAATTTTTTTTATTTATTTAATTTAGGGTTTATGTAATATTATTTTGTAGAGTTTTGATCCAGCAGAAAGAAAATATTCGTTTGACTCAATGTTCAACAAACGGTGAAATAAATATATCCTCTGAGTCAACTTCTACTTTGGATGGGAATAGTGAAATAGTTGAAGCACCAATGGTTATCGATGATAATAATGTTACTACGTCTTGCAATAAGAAATCTGACAAAGTAGATGATTTTAGTTGTTTGTTGAAATGTAGTGGAACACTTCTGACCCACGAACAGCTTAAAAATCTATTTATCGAGATGGATGATTTCACTAAAGCATTTAAATCAGTACAACCTTCTGCCAAGAGAGAAGGTTTTGCTACAGTTCCAGATGTAACTTGGGATGATATTGGATCCCTAAAAGATGTCCGCAGTGAGCTTCAGAAGTCTATTATGGTAAATTCATTGTATATTAAGGTAATTTAGTGACTAATCTACACCACCATATACTGCAAAATATTTGGACATACAGAGCAGAACTTTGGAGTTCCTCAAAACACATCCACATAAACAAAAAAATCTGGTGTGCACAACACACAACTTTTACTTGCCGCTCTACTTGGAAAAGCAATTCTTGTCTGACAAAATTGGACTATTACAAGAAGTTTTTGAAGCACTTTTTTAATCTAGCTAAATCTTGAACAATATATTATTGAATTTGGTCATATTCATCAATACAACAACTCATTAAGATCATCAAAATAACATAAACCCTATTTATTATATCCATTATAGGCAATAAAAATCTTATAACTGCATCAGTCTATTTGAATCACATAACTCCAATCTCTGAGCTCTATAGACAAAAAGAGATTTGAAAGTACATGTATTTAATTATGAATAAGTAAGGTCATACTGTACAGTAAAAATTATAGAAATTACGTCTGTATCACTTGTTACATGTATTTAAATTATTAATTTTTACCCTTGGAAAATTGACCAAAATACAGTTACTTGCTTTTAAATACAGCATCGATAAGTCAAAAGTCATAACACTGATTGTAAGTGTTTATGTGATTTCACAAAGGGATTTTTTTTTAATAAGTTGATGATCTGTAACTAATTGTTTAGATATAATATTATATCTAGAATTATTAAACTACAGTAAATGTATTTAAGGTTATAAACATATGTTTTACCCATCCAGGAAATATTTTTATTTTTATTCCAATTTTTCTTTCACACAAGTACAATGTAAATTTTTTTTACAATGTCATTGCTTTGATTCGGTGGATTATATACCTTTTTTTTTCAATCATAAACGTAATTTTAAATGTTTCATACATTTAGTTAAGAAATTTCAATTCATTTCCTTGGAAACATGTGGTTTCCATTAAATAATATTAGTTTTCAGAAATTATTATTTATAATATTTTGTCACTCTCCATTACCTTTTAGCACTTTATATGTGAGATATTGTTCTTCTTAAAATTCTTAGCTTTCCAGCGATATATTATACGTATACATTCTGTCTGTTATTTCCAGAAATTAATTTTCAACCTAAAAACACATTTTTCCTTTTTTCTCTTTTAACCAATTAACAAATTCTTTCACACTATATATTCAACCATTTTTTTATTGTTAATAAGGATAAGAGACATTTAATTTTTTTAAATAAACCAAATTAAAGGTACTTTAGAAGAAAACATATTAAACATTAGGCATTTAAAATATTTAAAAACTGTCTCTGTAAAGTGACATCAATGTCGACAACACCTAGCTGATCTTAAAGACCACTTAATGATAAATTTATATACTGTGTTTAATCAAAATTGTAAGAGCCGTTTTTGAGAAAATCGTAAAAATGTGTAAGATAGTTGATGTAAAGTGCCACTTCCGGATAGCCAATTTCCAAGAAAAAGTTGCTATAACATCCCAGCCATATACCTATCTTAAATACGTAATATCAGTTTCTTACAACATTTTGGTTTTGAGCTAAACTGTTAACATATATGCACATAGACCATTTTGTGAGATTTGGTTATATCGACTTAGGGGACCTCAAAATGTATATTTTCATTGAAAACTCATATTCAAAAATTTTCATGATCGCAATACTTCCCCATATTACACATTACACATATAGGTAAGTGAAAGTAATACAAACTGTTCTATTCAAAATACTTCAAAAAATCGTAAATGCACCCTGCTATATTTTAAATCACACCATACACAGCGTCATGAATATTCCAACAGTATAAACCGACATACATATCAAATACACCACATTCGAATTTGTAGGACAATACTTCATAATGTGCTAAATTATCGCATTGTTATTTTGTTTGCAATTGGAATGTTGAGCCTTGACTGTTGAATTTTTTGTAGAATTTTGCACTGTTATTTTTTTTTAAACTATAACTTTTGTTTTTAGATGCCTGTAAAATACGTCACTGAATTTGAAAAATTAGGAATTACAGCTCCTTCTGGTATATTACTTTGTGGTCCACCTGGTTGTGGTAAAACTCTGCTTGCCAAAGCAGTCGCTAATGAAGCTAACATAAATTTTATTTCAGTCAAAGGACCTGAATTATTGAATATGGTAAATTAAGATTCAGTTAGTCTTAACATTTATTTGTTGTATTTATACTTTATATACTTAGCTTTCTGAATGTTACTTTAATAAATAATTAATACATTTTTGTTTTTATCATGTTGGTAGTATGTTGGTGAAAGTGAAAGAGCTGTTAGACAGTGCTTTCAAAGAGCCAAAAATTCTCAACCTTGTGTCATATTCTTTGATGAAATAGATGCATTATGTCCCAGAAGATCAGCTTCTTCAGAGGTTACATATTTTGCTATTTTTATTTGTTTAAATATGTTTAGCTTTCTTTTTTAAAGATTGTTAATTGTTATAGGGTCATAATGCAAGAGTTGTTAATCAAGTGCTAACAGAAATGGATGGTATTGAAGGCAGAAAGGGAGTTTTCCTCATGGCTGCTACTAATAGGCCTGATATGGTTGATCAAGCGGTTTTGAGACCAGGAAGACTTGATAAAATTTTGTATGTGGGCTTACCTTCTGCTGAAGATCGAATTGATATTTTAAAAGCTCTTACAAAGGTAATCTTCTATTTGAATATAATTTATTTAATAATATAATACATGAGTCAGTTTCTATTTAGAAACTATTTAAATATAAACAATATATTATTGTAAATTAAGTTATTACCTTATGAATGTTTTTTTTAAGGAAGACTCCTGATTTTCTTAAGTTTTATATGTTTAGAATTAGTCAATAACAAAACAATTTATTCATTTTGGGGCCAACCACCATTAGTACCTGTCACCCAATTAATTTTGGCATTACTCTTCTAAACGTCATATTATGGATGAGATATTTATCCTTTAAAATGATGTTCAAAACATTTATTTCTGTTTATTAACTATGCCTTGCGTTTTCGTGCAGGTTAAATTTATATTATAATGTCTTATACACACCGTAAACATAGATAAAAATGGGTAAATAACATCCGAAATTTCTGTAGACAAACAATAGGATTGATCACAAAAAAAAACTGACTTGACAGAAAGTGTTTTCATTGGTTGTTTTATGCTAAAAATGTTTCTACAACCATGTTGTTTGATAAAATACTTTAGTATAATAATATTTTTAGTTCATCTTCTCTGTTGTTTTTTATATATAACAATATATAAATTTATTATATAATGGTTTTCTCAGCAATACATATATATAGTTGTCATTGCTTCCTCAATAATTTAAATGATCAAACCTCTATTAAAGGCACAAAGAATTTTTCAAACTGGTCTAACTGGTCTTGAAATAAGGACATTTCAACAAACTCTTCCGGGTCATAAATTAGTTTTCCTTAGGAATATATTTTATTACTTATTATTAATGGTAACCACCTTAATTAAATCAATTCACAGAATTTTATTTTGGAAAAAGGCATAAATTCTATTTAACATTTGTCCACATACTATTGCAGTTATAGCAAAACTACCAATGTCTGTCTTCAATTCAATAGTTTATTATTAATCACCAAAAAGATCAATTTCAATCTGTTAGTTTTTTAGGTATTTGTCAATCTTTTCATGGACAAACAGTTGTGATGGAACAGTGACAATTTTCTTACTTCAAATTTTTTTTAACTTTGGTTTCATACCATATCATGTATTCGATATTCAATGATAGTACATATTTATTTTTGAAAATCTATTTATAGATTGCTGATTTAAAAAATTTGAAAAGGTAATTTCCTTGATCCAACAACTTTTAGTGATATTGAATATTATGCATATATACAGATACATTATACATTAAATACTTCAAACCTAATTTTGAGTAATTTTGGAGAATATGCACTACATTATTTTGTTTATGTCATTTGTTATTTGGACATCAAAGCGTAATTGACCTATTGGTTTATTACCTTTAAAAATTATTTATAACTTAAATAAATGTTAGCCTTCAATCATTTTCTGTTTGATTAGTATTTAAATCAAATGAAAAACTTTCACATTTTAATCACTTAAATTTATTTATTTAAACTCTTATTATTATTCTAACCAAACATAGATTTTCTAATAAAATCAAAATTTTAATATAAGGGAAAGGATGAATATCAGAAATGACATTTAATTTGGTATTATTTTAATTTCTACTCATTACTTTCTGGAAATGTAAACAACTTCATTATAGTTTTTCATTTATTACATTTTACATATATTTGCTTGATTATTAATTAGTATTATTTCCATTTAGAATGGCACTAAACCACTAATGAAGGATGTTGATCTCGAACAATTTGGAAGAGATCCGCTTTTAGATGGATACACTGGAGCAGACTTGGCTGCCTTGGTGAAAGAGGCCTCGGTTATAGCTCTTACTGAATTTATTAACCACAATGATACAGGTGATCCTCATGTTTCCACCAATATGCTCAAACTGGCTGCTCAAAATATCAGGCCATCAGTTTCAGTCAAGGTTAGTTATAAATCATTTTTTTGTTGCTCTTCACTAATTCAAATATATCACTGATTGCTTGTATCATTCTTTTTCTATATGTATTATTGTTTCTCATTTCTTCCAAAACTGTTTCACTTCTATCATTTTCAATAAACTCTTGGCACTCTTTATCTGATTTTATAATATGTGAAATTCTCTCTATCGGTAATAGAAGGAGATGAAGATACATAATGGCCATCGCTTGAGCTGTTGGCAATGCGTCGTGTACACTTTCATTAAACTGATCCCATGTCAAGATAGCCTTTGGATCTACCTCATGTTCTGTTAACTCTCGGGAAAAGTTATTGTAATAATGTACTAAAAGTGATTCAAAGTTATTTGATCGTAAAATACTGTTTGTTGTCAGTAGTATTGCTAGCAAAACATCCAATGCAGGTGTGTTATATCTAGCTTGTTGAAAATTTGTTATTACACTTTCAGTGACTCCTTTATCTTCATTTGTTTTAAAAAGAACATTACCAGCTGTTATACAACCATTCATGAGAACATTTCGATATTTTCGTGATGGAATTACACGGTAAGGTAGTGTACGTAGAACATCATATGCTTTCTCATATACCTCTGGAGGAGTATGGGGAAAGTACGCTTCAACTATAGCCTCAATAGCATTCATGCTAGTACAACCATTGTGAAACCATGGATGATTGATATCAGGAACAAAATAAGTTTCAGTTAATGCATCCAAATATGTTTCATCCAATTTATTGCCAGTTTTTTCTTCAAAAATGATTGATCCTGCATGTAATTTACTTAAAGTTTTGAGTGTTGATTCGATTTGATCTAGATCAAACGTATTTGTTATACCAATGCTTTTAAAACCCAATACATTAAGGTCTTCCAAAACAATTAATTTGTCCTTTCTTGCTAAGTAGCATTCAGGATATACCTTACCATCAATATATGTGTTGATTTGCTTAAGTAGATTATCATGCATTATTGCTTCTTTTGAAAAGACACACAACTTATCCATTAATTCACCATGGTAACCTTTTGCAGTAGGACTTTGCCTAATAAACATATGCAAACCAACTACTTTCCCTTCCTCCAGTTTTAAAGCTACGTATTCCTTACTCGGTAATCCATAAAATCCAGAAGATTGATAATCATTTTTAAATGTCCACTCTACCACTTCAAAATCACTGCACTTAAATTTATTCTTTATCACTTCTTTTAAATCGGTGTGAGATAGTATACTTTCCATGTTTCATGAAGATTCAAGAAAATTGTCTAGATTACTGCCTTATCTTATGCAACGTCAAGATAATGTGGTCAAATAAATCTATCCTTGTTGTTGAAAAGGTGGAAAACAAATGCTTATTCCTTCTCTCCTCTTTTTTACTGCAGGCCTTGAATTAATGAGGTAGTAGTGATTTGATTTAGTAATACTTTTTTGAGTTTTGCATAAACATTTAATGTTTAGATCTACTTTAATTACTTTGATTGTATTTTATATAATATTTTCATTACTGAATGTAAATTTTATGTATGATCTATTAAATATATAAATATACATTTATCAAATCATAAACTTAATTTTTTTTATTGCATTATCTTTTATCTTATCTTTTTTATTATTCTTGTGGATTATCTTAATGTTTATTTATTTTTCTCTTCTTGATGATAAAATAAAAATAAATATTACTAAGCCTTGGTTTATTTTTAGGATCTTAAACGTTATGAGGAGTACAGAAAAACCTATGGACTTCCTCATAAAAAACTGCCTCCTGAAGATGTTTAATTTATAATTTATTTTTATGTAACTATGTAAATAAATCCCTAACTTTATGATTAGATGTATGATAAAATTTAAACAATTAGCATTACTTATATTATTGCCTTTTGTATAGATTTTGTATAAATTAGAGACTGATAATTGTTTTTGATATATTCTAAGAATATGATTACATATTATCTAACAAAAATGTCTCTTTTTGATTGTTACATTTTTTTTTTTTTCCAAATACAAACTCTGTAGATATATATGTTTTTTTTTATTTTTTACTTTGGTACTCTTTGATTCAATATATCAATTATTAAATGGTGAGGCCCTTTTTACCCTAATTTTAGTTTTGTCTGTATATTTCAATTTCAGTTTCTTCTGATCATTGTTTTTAGAAAATTTTAATTTTAATAATAAGCTGTAAATTAATTTTAATAATAATTATATTTATTCCAAAGTCACTTTAGCTATATGTTTATGTGATGTGGTTTTATTTATTTATCCTACATGGAAGTAGTTCTGTATGCAAAATATTATAATGCAATACATAAACATCAATTATTTTTCTTTTTTAACTTCATATATTAAGCTGCATTTCATCTGTGAACAAACTTGTTTATAGTTTGTCCTAAATTATCCTAATATCAAAAAAATTGTTTTTTAAAATTACTTTTTCAAATTATTTTGCAATAGAACAATGGAACATTAAAAAAAATTACTATTTTATAAAAGTTGTGTCTCTGTGAGCTGATTTTTTTTCTCAATTATGGCCAGTTTTGGTAGTTATGATAAAAAAGTTCTGTTGATAAAAAATATTAATTATTTATTGTTTAAACAATTTGATTTAATTATTTAGTGATCTAAGTGAGTATTTATTTAATCTCATTACTCATTTTATTCTTGTAAGGTTTTACAAAATTCTAACCATTTTTATCTTGCCGATGTCTTATAAAAACTCAAATTTTTGTATAAAACAGGCATTTTTGTTCATAATAGATTATTCTAAGTATTACCTTTTTATACTTATTACTCTTGTGGTGTAGTTGAGGGGAAACATTCTAATGTATTTATATTGTACATAAATATTCAAATTATTATAATAGATCTAATATAATGTATCACACCGGTGAAAAATAAAATTTAAGGTTGTCATCATTTGGCATGTATATTTAATCTGAGATATAATTGTAGTTTAAAAGTTTTTTATTTAGATTATAAGTTATTTTTAAACAATTAATTTAATACATAACAATGTCATAAGTTTTAAATTATTATTTTTTAAACTTAATTTTCCAGAATTTAAAAATATGATTTTTCTTTTTTTTAAATCTCTTTCTTCAAAATTTCACTAATATATATGTTTTATTTCTCAACAAGATCTGAAATAGTAAACAAGCTGTAAGGTTAACCTTGGAACTAATTTGCATTACCTTGTAAATGTACATTTCTATGGCAATAAGTATATAGCAAAACAACATTTTGGTGTGAAATATTTAATTACTGATAAGTATTCATAATCTTTTATCTCTTCTACATATTTTTACATTTTAAATAAGTAAACCTAAAAAAACTGGTTTGCATATTATGCACAAGAAACAGAGTGGGGCTGAATCTTACTTGTAATATTTATTAAACTATCAATTTAAATTTCAATTAATGTCAAACATTGTAATTCAGTTTTATGAAAAATCATCCTCTTGCAATATAAATTTTTAATTGATGATGTATATCTTTGAAGTTACCATTTTATTATTTAAGTATTTTATTTCCAATCTGGACTGCGTTTCTTTTTTTTTGTAATTAAATTATTTTTACTGTTTTTAGCAAGATAGAATTATAGGGACCAAGGATACTTCATATTATTGGTAAATTCATCTAATACAAACACATAAATTATTTAATATGTATATTATTTAAACATTGATAATACAATTGTTTATATGTATGTACTTAAAATAATTTAAAATTAAATAAAATTACACATTTTAAAAATTACTTATCGAGACCTGATCTACATTATTTTACTTTTAAATAGATTTTAAATTTACATTAAAATAAAGTATATATAACATAACATATATCATATAATTATCTAATATTTCTATCATTAATTATCATTCTGTTCTCTGTCAACGAAGGTATTAGTTCATGGTACAGAACCCATTTTTATCAAATTATTAACATCCCCCTAAAACTTTGTGAATGGCTTCATTACAATTATTAGTCTATTTGGCTAATATAATATCGTTATTTTGACATGTTGGGGGTGGAGATAATGCCAAATGGTCCAATATTTTTGTATACCACCTTTATTCTTAATTTTTTGGTCAAATTATCTTAAGATTCAAGTGGAAAGCAAATATGTGTTCATGATTTTTTAGTACCTAATTAAATAGACGAAGTCAGCTAATCTCTAGATTAAAAACGTCCCGATTCCGAGAACTTTCATGAAAAAAAAGTTGTAGGTTACGATGGGATGAAGCTATTTATGAAGTTAATATCCACATATTAATAATTTGATAAAAAAGGGTCTGTACCACGGATTATTTTGAATTTGCCCTTTCAATAAGAAAATTATAAAGTAATACAGACTTGCGGAAGTTGAATAAACCAGAAACATTTTTAAAAATTGCCTACAATAAAAATATGTTTAGATTTTTTAAAAATTGATTTGCAATGATATTAATACACAATAGGCCTTAGCTATGCTGTGGTGCATATGTGTTGGAAATTAAAAAATCGTAATGAAATTATAAAGACATTCCTATTGAATAAATAACTCTTTTAGTTTTCTTTGAAGTAATCAAAAAGTTCCATCAAACTTTCAAGAATTCTTTCCCTATAAAAGGTACTCTGATTCATTGCTTGTGAACAATATCCAGTTCTATCCTCTAAGAAACATCTCTTAAATTCTGTGTCATTTTTCATTAAATCATTTAATATGTGTGGAGGCATCAAAACAAATGAAAGGTATGTAGGAACTATTGTCAAAACTATTAGAAAATATTCTTTTTTATGTTCTTCAAAATCACTCCAAGACATTATCGAGAAGCTGTTCCATGTTATCAAAAGCCATGTCAGCTATCTCAGTTAGATAATCTGGTAGAAACTCTTGGGTTATTTCTTTTAATGCATTTAGTCCTGCCCAAAAAGCTTTGTTACCAGGATGATCGGGGTCTGCCTTTAATAAAACTTCATTTTCAATCATTGGATATTTTTCATTCAGTCTGATTTCTTCTCTATTCTCTAAAATGAATGATGCTCCATGGATTTTAGAAAGTGAGTTGAGCACTTTCTTACAATGGATAAGGTCAAGTGTTTCGTACAAATTCCTATTCTGGTATCCTAATGAGATATCATAGCACCATATAGATATGGAATATCTATATATGGAAATCTATATAGCATAGATATGGAAAGCACCCATCTGTGTTGTTATTTCTCGATGATCATCAGAATGAGGAAGTTCTTTAACAAAAATATTAAGTTCTTCAATTTTATCTTGTGTCTTATATTTTATGCATTTCTTATCTTGGTTACTAAGAAATCCAATAGATTTGTTCTGTAAATTGGAATATTCATAAGAAATAATTTCAAAATCTTCTAATTTTAAATGTTTTCTTATTATCTCATGCAAGTCTTCTGTACTCAAAGACATTTCGTATCTAAATTTTTTGGCTCTGCCACAAATGAGTAAATTTTCTTTTCTTCAATCAATCGCCTGTTCAAAAAATGAATTAATTTTTATGAACTTAATTAAAGTATTACACATAAACATATTATTCTAAAATAATTAATCTTTATATATGATTATATATTTTGATAATACATGCTATTGATAAATCTACCTTTGTTAAAGCAAGCTTTCTCTCCAGGTTGATTGAATGCATCCTTCTTTACTCTGAGTCTCCTTTTGAAGTTCTTGTTCAACTTCTTAACTTAACTTCTGACCAGTTCCAATGTGTATTGTTATCAAAGGCAACACTCATAGCATTTAAAAGTCTTTTTACATATTTTTTTTAATTATTCAAATAAATATTTGATTTAAAAAATACCTGTACCACAACAACTCATGAAGGGTCTTGGGTTCAGTACTACTTAGGAAAAGTACTGTTTCAAGGCCAATGGTTGGGCATGGAGGGGATTGGCCGAGGATCACGCTCAACTGCCAAGTTTTTCCCCTTAATCAATTATTTAATTAAGGGTGCCCACTTTATATAGGCTGGGTATGGCCAAAAAGGATGGTCTTCCTACACCAGGGTCGCCCCACGGCCAATGAAACAGAATAATCAATTTGTCTGCCATGAGCCAGGATTCGAACCTGAAACCTTGAGCATTGGAAGCTGAGTGCCCTACCACTGAGCTACTCCACTCTCTTTTGAGTCTATACAGGCGGAATAAATCCTAAGCTTATTGGGATAAATAGTCAGATTGAGAAACATGGCCAAGGAAGCAATGACAAGATCTTGGGAGGAATTTGGAAAGGAAATACAAATTAATTTTGAAGAAAATAGCCAGGATTAAAAATGTTTGCAGCTTGTATTTGGTAAAGTATGTTATATACAGAAATTATAAATGTTTCAAGGATAAGACTTTAGTCAGGTTTCATTAAAATCTTTGAAGCCCTGTTGGCGCTACAGTCTAAAGCGAATCACGTTTTTCAGCCGCCATTTCGAAAGGAAAGGCCTGATGGTAATGAAACGTATATAAAAACACTTCTAAATATTATTGCGACGTTGTATGAAATTTTCAAATAAATCGGTGAAGAACTTTCAGAGATTAGCTGTTTTAAAGAAACTACCATTTATATTTTTATTTACAAACTATTTCATATTTTTATTTATTGATAACACTAAGCTACATCAATAGCTATTAAACAAAAAAAAAAAAGAATAAAGGAAGAAAATCGGTTGAATAATAGAGGAGAAAAAGGGGTTTGATTTTGCCTGTTTCTATAAAGATTTCTTAAATAAATTGATTTTATAATTGAAAGATAATATTTTTGAAGTGAAAATTTA